GTGCAAGAAATGTAGAAAAGAATGTAAAGTGAAGCTTAATCGAAAATGTCGTGACAAAAATCCTTCTATAGTGAACTTCAGCAGTTATTTAATGGAAATCGAAAGAAAATGACAAGTGTAATACTGCTACAAAGGTATAATTATGGCTGAAACAAATGGAAAAAATGTTCATTTCTCCACAAATCCAATAAGAGGTAAAAAATAATATCGTTGTCAGTTAAGACTTGCCAAATTTCGAAGCTGAATGTTTTAGCATCAGCTTATCACTCAAATAAACTGAAACCAAGTTATCAACAAATATGTTTGATGATAGAGAAGTGATGGTAGAATGATAATTAAACAATCGGAGATATTTCCAATAGGCTAACAAGGACGATAGAATCATTCAATAGGATCTCAGTTTCATAGAAAATTAAAACAACTGATGACACCTAGTGAGGTACGTACAGCTTTTTGCATCACCGATTGCATTCATGAAAAACAAATGGATAAAGTTGGAACATATATCTACATTTAAAGTGAGGCACTCCAGAAAGGTAGCACTTCTGAGGGTTTTTAGAAAACAGTCCTGTCAAGGAAACTGTCAAGGCAGTCATTATGCAAAGCTTTGTAATTCGCGATTTGAAATTTTATCTTTCCCTTCTGTTAGTATGGGATACATTATTTATTAAAATACTCGAAGACTGTGCACTTAATTAAAATATAAGTCATGAAAAGGAAGATTAATAAAACAAGCCAAAGATTAAATCTGTTTAATGAAGAAAAAGAAATATTGGACGGAAGTCTTTTTGTTTTCAAAACCAATATTAAGATTAAGCCAAAATTTAAATATTATGGTTTAGCGCAAAGATATAAATATTACGATTTAACAAAAAGATAAATATTATGGTATAGGCCGGTTTTACATGCTGGATGAAGAAGTAATATTGAAAAAACTACGCAGATACTAAAGCTCTTGAAAATGAAAGTGATTCCCTGACCTTTTCCAAGCCGGACCAATTCACTTGTTGATGAAAATAGAATCAATTACTGAAACGTGATGTCGTCACTTGAAAATCATCATCCATTTGAGGCACACAGATTTCAGTTTTTGAGGTTCCTGAATTTTGGGCGTGATGTCTCTTCAGTTTCTGCATGATTCTTATCAGAATCTGTTTCAAAGTCTTTTAAACGAAGAGTGTACAATTCGTATGCCAACTCATTTACGAAATTATCTTCATTAGTACAGTTGATAAATTCTTCGATATATTTCAGTTCCTGAAATGCGGAGAAAGTGACTGCTACAACATTTCAACAAAGGATGATTTCTTTTCTGGAAAACAGCAAAACAATTATTTTCCAGTGAACCAATGTTTAAGACATGAATAACGCAGAATGCAAAAACGATAACTTTGAAAGCGGTGTAAGAAGTGCAAAACTGCTCTCAAATCTAAGAAACAAACTTTAATTAAATCTTTCGCATGCTACAGTTGACAGTTAGCTTTTAGAGTAGAACATGCTTTCAAGACAGAATATATTAAGGAAATAGCACATGCGGTATATTTGGTGCTTGATTCTACGAGGACGTTACGCATTATTTCCATGTGTGTCGCATCAGCCACTTTCACTGCATCTCTCGGTTTCCAGATCTCATTCAACAAAAATAAGGTGGTGCAATGTCCCAGAAGCATTCTGATTCAATTTCAGCAAATTCAATTTAATTCAATTATCTAGGATAACTGTATGCTTAATCCGCACTTGATTCTACAGTATCTCGGAACTTATTTTACAGTAGCCAGGTCGATAATTTATCATCGAATCTTTATGATTGGTATAAAACAATAGAACATTAATTAAAGAGCGGTCACATTCACTTTTGGAATACTAGTTTTTAAGTTCGTGTTTTTAATCTGAAAATTTGTAAAGAGGAGTATTATATTTCAGCATTTAATGCATCAATGGATTGAATGAGTACAGTGCCAACAAGAAATCTGACAAAAGTTGAAATTATCTAGAATTTCGTATTGTAAATTTAATTTAACAAATTGCTGCTAAGAATGTAATGAGTGTTATAGTTTGTCCTATCCGTAAGACACTTTTGTTTCATCTCTGCGCTGCTGATTTCATGCATTTTGTCCAGGACATTTTAATGTGGTATAACTCACCTAAGACGCAACATTACAATTCCGGAGTCCGCTATAGATCCCGCATGTTTTATGCATTTTTTTTTGGATAGAAGATTCTGAAAAATTCAACGAGCTTCCAAATCCTTTTATAGAGTTGAATGACGAGCGAGAAAAGGCATAATCCTCAAATCAATCCCAGATGAAGAAGTGTTTGAAATCAAGTTTTACGAAACAAACCTAGAAACCAAAACATAGAAATAAAATATATATAACAAATGAATAAAATATAAAAGACTTCCTTATCCTTCCTCTTTGCCTTTATAGTAAGAAGAGAACAATTTCCACTACAAATTATTAGAAACAAATTTTCTTTTTTCGTTCATTTTTTCTGTTTCTGTTAACTATCACAATGATCATTACAATTCACACAATTTGCAGAACCTATTAAAAAAAAAAAAACGAAAAGATCTACGTATAACAATACTAGAGCGACAAAATAGAAATTTGCGAATTCGTTTTTGTTTTTGGTTTTTTCAAAACCAGTAGAAAATTACATCAGTGTTGTCGCTATGTTGTCTTACAAAGTATCCAATGATAAAAGTGCTGTTTTAGCTTCATCTTCGGGAAACTGAAGGATACTCCTCATGTATTTTCAAATATGATAATAAAATCTTCATTACTAGCGGCTTGGAACACGACGTTCAAAACAGCTGTCCTGATTTCCCCATCCTAAATAGTAATGATTTAATATTGTATGAATGCCAAATGCTATCTTTATATATCTTGACCTCCACGTGACATCGAGATACATAAGAAGTGACTGCAAAGTAACATCTTGAGATTGAACGAAGAATAATGGCCATTTGTTCGCTGATTAGATTTGAATGGAATATAAACTTCGATGAATCCAATGAACTTTTGGTGGTTTATCTGATGAAATGATATAGATATAGGTGTTCTAAAACGATAAATCATGTCAAAACAGAGGTCTCCCAGTCTTTTTTCATCTTGCTAACCTACTTTAAAAAGTAGAAACGAAATCTCATGTAGCAAACGAAAACGAGCACAGATCATCCATATATCCCGATTTAACTCATCCCATATCTTTAAATTCTTAGGCTCGGTCCACGAATTTATTTGATATTTCCAATTCTCTGTTGCATTCAAATGGCGTTAAAGAGCATTTGCTAAGTAGATAGCTAGATAAATAAGCCACTTAGCTCACCCAGAGTAGTTCAGTTTTCATTGTAATAGATGAAAGTATTTCCACACTGTCTCGTAGGAAGTACTGCTTTGGACGTATTATTTTGCATTTAATGTGATTTTTCATTTCAGGAATTCATGTCATTTTGTCGTACTAGTTATAGACGATTTCGCAATTTCAACTTGTATCGCTAGAGAAACATTATGTTTGCTGTGCAACAAAAGAAGATTTTGCCAGAGATATTGCATCACGCATCCTAGGCACTGCAATGCCGTGATTTCACGCATTCGTACAGGCAAGTGCTAGAAAAGGTTTCAGTGTTTTAGACTAAGAGCAAATAGCGGATACTTAGTATTGTGTAACATGATAGTATAAAAGAGATGAAATTACGTTTGTCCTCCTCAGTTCTTTTGATTCTTAATTCCTGAACGACTTTTTTTTATCCCATGAATTTAGCTATGTGATTGTAACATAACCATCGTTGTTTGTTCTGGGGGAATGAAGAAATCATCTAAAGTGCAAAGTACATCCAAAGTCATACTTTCTATGAAATATAGTGAATTATACTTTTGGTATGCCTTATTGACGCGGCGATAATTGGTTTATCATCTCATAGGCTCAGTTCAAGATTGTACCTTTTCTCAAAATACGCTGTCAAAGCACAGCGTAGGCTTCAGGCATCTGAGTGTTTCACCTGGGTCAAGTAAAAATGTTTATTCAGAATTCCACCGAACCAGGAGAAGTGAGAAATTTGCTACGTCTGGTATTGTTTCATGTTATTCAAAAAGTATGGGGTAGCGCATCAATTTCATAGCACTGTGCAGAAAGATTCAGTGATTAGTAACTTTTGATGTGAGTTAATGAACTGTCATATTCAGCGGGCCAATGCAGTACACTGTTCACCTATTTACTGTCAAGGTGTTCTTTCTGCTCTGCGCACAAGCGGATCGATCTGACATTAAACCGACATTAAATCGAGTTGGCCGATAGGTAAATCACAGATAAGACCTCTATTAACAAGGTTAAGTCTTTTCGATCTTGGACACTTGGCGTACGCATAAACCATTTGTGGAAGAAGCTTCATTTCATTTATGATTGAAATATATTTCTGTGAGTCGTTTGTTTAAAGCACACACTTTAGAAAAATAAGGTGGAAGAGAGCAAGTCATCATCGGTATGGAACCTACCTATTATTCCATGATTTTTTTAGACTTTTTACTTTCTTATATCCATATCAGGAATATATTTTACAGATTCGCTGTATTACACCTGCTCTTGTGGTCTTTGAATTTATTTAATTTCATGACACTTCTTCGTTGTTGGTATGCACTGTAATTCCATAAAATGTGAAAAGCAAGATCTGAATCACAAGAGTTGTCCTTAATAAATGTAGTGATGTTGCTGTATGAATCAACTCCTGTAACTATTGTCCTTATTTCTCTCTTCGAGTTGTTCATATATAATTTTGAAAACGGCACAATATTCCAATTCTTATTTTCAGTAAATTTGGTGGCGACAGTATCAAAATTCCAGGGCCAAATTTCTAATATTTTGCTCTCCTTTAATAGAAAAAATAGCTTATGTTTTTTTTTTTTTTTTAAATCCGGGTAATCTTAATACTGACATAATCTCTACTAATGAAGAGACAGTGTAAGGTCTGGGAGTTGTCTGTGATGATTTTGTGATTTCAGATGGATCATGGAAATGAAGAAGTGGAAAGGGGCAGGCTTGCCGTGATTCGACAGCATGTTGAAAGTGTGAAGGAGGTTAGTTTATTCTATTTTTTACCGATCTTCAATATGTGGAACAAATCGTTTTGAATTTTATTGTAAAGCATGTGGAGGGAATTACAAGTTCTACAGCTTTACCAGTTGCTCACTTCTTCGGAACGTATTTCCCAGTTTGCTTTTAAGGACTTCCTGCAACAGTAATTGCTTGTTTTCAAGGGTTGGTCATTTAAGGTGATGAACAATAACATGCAAAGAGTGCTAGAAAGAGGTGAACAGCTGGAAAATATTGAGAATAGAACGGAAGCACTCACTCAATCGGTATGTCTTTTTAGAAATTTCTGTAAAAAATAGTTCTGCTTAGTTCTGTTTTCAAATTAAATGCTGTAAGAATAGTTCAGAATTATTGTAACAAAGCTAGCCAAGTAGTTTGAAGGAGACTGAAGAATTTCAGGAATACGTGGAAATTTTCTAAGTAATCTTTAAAATTTCGCGGGCATTGTAATGGATGTATTATGTGACATCTACATAATCTTTAAGACCATTTTAGTTATTTTATTTAAAAAATTTTTCTTGCAGTCTCAAACCTTCCATTGGACAGCACGACGCGTCCAGCGTCGAATGTGTGTGAAGAATGCAAAATGGATTATTATCATCACTATTTTTTTAATGGTTGTTGCTGTTAGTATCATACTTATTATGCTGAAGAACTCTGGCGTTCTCGGTTATTCTTCATTATAATTCTTAATCGAAAGTTTGAACTGTGTGATGCAGTTGAAATGTGCTACCAATACTAGAACATGAAGAAATCTAAGATTTACTTACTGATATTTTTTGTTACTAGAAATTTTTCGATAGGGATTTTTTTTTTCGTATTTATATAAGAGAAATTTATTATTACTAATAATCTTTACATAAGGTAACCGCCCGTTTTGTAGCAATAGTTTATTTGTACTAGTCGTACGTTTTTTCTCATTGATGTTCATCATACTACTACAAAACATGCACCGGTTTATCTGGAATTGGCATGCGATACCGGAAATTTATTATGACTACCTGGTAATAGGTTACTGATAGTTATTTTATTACCTGTTTATGGGCACCATATAAAATCTTTTGTGGTGTTTTTTGTTTTTTATTGATTTTGTATTGTACAGTAATTATGACCAGCACATGTGATACTGTTGAGAACTAGTATCATATGCGACGTTAACAAACTTTTACGAATTTTTGCGAAAAAAATTTGTGAACGCAAGAGCTGAAAAGCTTATTTGTAGTAATTACAAATTTTTCATGCAGAGTTATTATTTGTTACTCAAAATCCTGTTTACATCACATTTCATTACTCAGGGTAATACTGACATATTTTATTTCAGTCGCGTCCCAAGGCGGCTACACTTTATTTGCTTGTGCTGAGTATACCACATGTCGACCTGTTTTTTTTTTCTTTTATTCAAGTATTGGGAGAGCTTATATTTTGTGTTGTTTTCCATCCAGCCCATGTTTTGATTCACTAAATCATTTATAGATTGTTACCTTCGAACAGAAAATTAAGCTGTTGGGAGTTTGCTGCATAAAAATGGTCATTCAGTACTCTTTCATTGTCTTTAGGAAGAATTCATGGGTCAAATCTTTATTCAGAGAGGAAATCTGAATCTTGACCAGAGAAGCTGGAAATGTAATTGACCAGAAGACGCATTATGAAGTAGAGTCCTGTTCGGTTCAATTTCTACACTTCCTTCCAAGTTATCTCGAACTTTGTAGTTCTTGCTACATGCTGATTTCCGGACCGTTTTCTAAGAAAATGCAAAAAAGTAGCAACATGGCCTCTCACCTACTTTCCAGCGTCCGCCCACAGTTATGGAAGAAGATAGTGTGTCATTTTTACTAGTATTCTATGCGCCTAACTGCGTTCCTTTGAGTCGACTCACATGCGTATATCGGTGGGACAAAATACATTTGGTCACAACTTTTTTACACCGCTACTAGCTTCCACTGTCCCATTGTTCTCTCCATTACACATTCCGAAATTTTGAAGATGCTATGTATTTACTATCGTAGCAATTATGGAGGAGGTCTGTGCAAACAACGATTGCTTGCTAATAGCGCTTTATCGATCAATAGCTTATGGGAGTGGTTTATTTGATGTATATGTGGCGCAATCATGACATTATGCGTGCATAGTTTCTCGCGTATGGTATGCTTATTTGTAGTCTTTGCGTAACAGAGAGATCTTCCTGGTCGTTCAGATTAATCTGACTAATTATGAAAGTCTTCGCCATCCAGTGAATCTGGTCTTTCTACTTTTAGTATCCATTTTTTCTTTCTCGACTTATTCGTCACTCCGTAGTTCTTTTATCTTGTTCGATGAGAGTAGATTATTAATGTGATTATTTCGTGCTTGCATTAGTTTTTTCCGGCTAAAGTTGCTATAATTAGGTTTCAATTCCCAATTTTTTTACCTAGTTAAATTTCCCTTATGTACTTAAAAATTGCAGATGTTGGAATGCTTACGTTTTAGACTTTTTCGAAACATTTCACGAAAATTTGAACACGAATCTAAGTTCGCTGGACCAATCCGTCCGTTCCGTAGTAGCTAATCATTTTTATTACTGAATAGTCATTAGATTTCTCCACTTATTTTTCACTATTCCATGATACTCTATATTTTATTTCATTGCTTTTTCTGTTACATTCTAAGTGATAAAAGGAAGTGTTTACAGGTGAACGTGAAAGAAGAGTGCGTTGATAAGGTGACTGTATTCCGATGATGATAAGATTTATTCACAACAAGAATTAAATATGGCTTTTATTTTGCTAAAAAAAGTTTTATACCGATTTGTTCTTCCAACAGCATTACTTACCGGTTTGTTTTAGAGTCTTATATGTTATACTGTAACTTTAATGTATTTTGATTTGAAGTGTGAGGTTGGATCGTTTCACTGTTTTGCATATTTTCCAGCTTTCATATTATTTCCAGGCGCATTCATCCGGCCATGTTTTATTTCCATCACCTACATTATTTTCGCCTTAATTGGTCCGCATTTGGGGCCCATATTGTCATATGGACCAATTCAACGGTCACTTCGTGTTTATTTCATTTCCGTCTTGCTAACGGCACTGCTTACTTCCGCTATTCAGTTGAGCTATCAGATTTATGAATCATTTTCTCAGCCGAATATCGATGAATACACCAAAACATGCAATATGTCAATTTTGAACTTTTGGTTGCGACAGATTGGATTAGTTAGGTATGTATTTGATCAGTTGACTAGTAACGAAATCTCCAGTATAATATTGTATGTGCAGACAAAATATTTTATTTACCAGCTATGTCGTGTTGACATTTGTTCCTAGATAATGTTGTATGGACTTACTTTATTTGATATTCCATTAATTTGAGTTCTGAAAAGGAACCAATACGTAACCGTTCGATTCTTATTGAGATCACAAGGTATTTTAGCAACTTAATGCAGTGAAAAATGTGTGATCTTGCCCACTACACAAACATATAAGTTTTACTAGCCAGTCAGCAGAGAATTGTAGCTTTTTTCTTTTTTTTTCATGTAGGCTGAAAATGTGTCTTTGTGATTTCGAAAAATATCAGTGATGGTTTTAACTGCTGAATGAATATCTATCTCATAGTTTGCATTGCAAAGCTAAAAGTGCTTTTCTGATAACAGTAATTATGACAAGGATAACAGTAATTATGGAGGAAGTTTCATGTCCAATAAATTCGAACTGTCATTTCGAAACTTTTCAGAATCAAACGTTATTCTGGCTTCGATACAATACGTGTAATTCTTCCTGAATTACTGGCACTTGTAGCTTCTCTTCTGGTTACAGGCTGTTGTTTTCTTATTCATCAAAATGAAGATTTCGGAAGTAGCAGCCATATCGTTAATGTGCAAATAGTACGGGAAACTTCAGGGTAATACTTCTAATCTGCTCTTTCATACTATTTTGATGTGTCGTATATTTCCTGAGTCACAGTAAACGTTACATTTTTTTTTTTTTTTTTTTTTCGTTTCAGCACTACTGAATTTACGAAAATAAGCAACAGTGAAGCATTGGTTTTGTTTCTGAAAAGGCTCTCAGACGTTGCAGTAATTTTGGCTCTCGGTTTAACCGGCATTTTTCAGGTTACTGAAATGCATAAGATTTGGTATTTAGTTTTGATTTTGAGTCCTAGCCAGATTCAAATTGAAGTAAAATGTAAATTTGAAATTTCTATCCAAAATTACAACGAAGTCATTCATTGTAATATTCTTTTTAAAAATTGAATGATTTGTTAATTATTTTTCAGCCATGTGTTCTCAACTCCATTTATTTCATTACATTTCTTTGTATTACAACGTTGTGGGCATTGTACAAACCCCTTCATTGCCATGTCTTCAATATTCTTAAACGTGTAATCATCTTCTTTTGTGCATTGCACTTCCTGTTGCTTTATATATATCAGATACCATTCTTTCAAACCATCATACTTGGACAATCATTTTTTGCTCGGTATGGTTTTCATATGTTTTCGCTAAAACTGAGTTTACTCCTTCGGCTACAAAAATTCCGTCTTGTAGGATAGTAATTTATTCTGGTTACTTTACCTTTTCATGTGGATTAGCAAAGTGACTAGGATGCAAGCCGTAATTTGGAATATAAATGATGATTAGTACTTCAAATTGTATTATTCAGGCGGTAATGGTTAGCAGAGATTAACTTGATTAGGTACAGCATTAATTCGTTTCAAAAATTTTGGATACTCTTGAATATATTTTCAGATTTAAAGGTTTTTAACTGCTATTTGTTACAGTTTGGTTGGTTTTGTCCCTATTTTATACACGGATTGCAATATGTGGTGGTCAGTGAATGTCATTTCACTTGATTATTGGACAACATTTGCCAATGCAGCAGCTGTACTAGTTCTTTATCACCTTCTAATTATTCAGTGTAGTTTTACAAGATGTGAAATTTATCGTAAATATAAGACTTGCGAAGACACTGGAAGTATAATGCATGATGAGGTAAGAGTTGTTTCTAACTGCTTTATCCAAACTTCTCTCGATGGCATTCAGTTATTCACTTCTATTTATTTTTTGATTTCTCAAAATTTGTAATGAATTTTCACTTCAGTAACTTTTTTAGATTATTTTTTTACTGGTTGAGTGTCAGTAGTTTTTAGTTGTAAAGTATATTTGTCTTGTTTTGCGGTGCTTGTTCTCCTTCCCTATTTGAAGATTAGTGCTAAATTCTTTTAAGCATTGAATGAGGATATGAATTCCAGATTCTATACAGTTATTTTTTTTCTTACTTCTCATATGTTGTTTCTTAAACTACATATTTTCGAATCACATTATAGAACGGGATCATGAAATACAGATCATTTTAAGGGGCAACTACTGATGTGGATAATGAAAAAATTAAATGTAGCTTGATGTAAATAAGCATGCTGGAGGGTGGGAGGGGGGGTTGGGAAAGGATTGTAATGATTCGGTAATTCGTAATGTTATAATTATTTAATTCAGATTTTCAAAGTTTAGTTTCACTTAGCATCCGCTTTTGTTTGCCTTAACATTCTTCAGTCAACCTTTGATTTATACGTTTTTACTTTTTCATTATTCGTATTACTTGTTAGATTTGATTTCTTCTTTGTTTTATCGAAATCATCTGCAACTGCATAGCTCAACATTCCTGTGTTTTTCTTTTATAGCTTCTTGCAAGCGATGCAAATTCTCACAGTGTCCGAAATTTATCACTGGATCAGGTTAATCCGTTTCATGCTGACCACGAAGAGATAGCAGTCGTTTTTATTGGTAATTTGTCATCTGTTTTTATGTTCAGTTCATCTTAGTTTTATTTATATAATATCTCATGCAAGAAATACTTGTAAATTTCTTTAATCTAAAGTTCTTGACTACCAGTATGAATTTTAATTCCGAATCGAATTAGAATCAGACTTTCCAGGACCAGGAAAGCATGAGACAGTAATATCTCAAGGATTTAGTGCTTCACTAACTTTTGTTTCCCATCATCTTCATGTTTTTTCTTTAATGGCTATGACGGTAATGTTTGGTTTTACTTTATTTTGCGATAAGAATGCTTCAAAAATATTAATTTTTTAGTGAATTGTATTCCTGTCTTTGCTTGAGCAGTGTTATTAGGCATATGTTTTCACTTTAGTTATAATTTAAACATGCAGTTTAGTTCACTAGAAGCTTGTTTAGCTGATATAAACTTGTCAAAAACTCTGCAGTGTAGTTTGTGATTGAAGGATTATATAAGAAACCGCTTTATGCATGTACCGGAAGCTCAGAATATTACCTCATTGCATAATATCACCATTTAAATTTTCAGTTCTGGGCTCTTCTTTACCACTCAGTATTTGGTCTGGTATTTTTAGTAGAAGCTTGCATTATTTTGGTTTTCAAAAACACACGCACTGTGGCACTTCGAGCATCACCACCACTTATGGCGTATGTTGAAGTCTGTTTTATTTTGTTGTTTTTTTTTTTTTTTTTTTTTTATGATGAGATTTAAGAAAGTTTTGTTTCGATAGTGATTTATTAATATTTATTTGTTTTAAATAGGTCTGAGAATAATTTTGATTTTAGTTCCTACTTGTTGCACAGTATGTGTGCAGCATGGATATCAAACATGAACTGCCGCAGTCAAGCTCTATGGAACTTATTGGTTTCATTTTCGCGTCTAATCGAACTGCAGCGTTCATTACTCTTGTCACTAAGGTTTGCTCTTTGTCGGGTGGGTAGAGCCTTCAGCATACTTCAGTTTCTAGAATTTCATGGGAAAATTTGATTTATTTTCTTTGAATTTCCTTTGAATCCTGTTTGAAAGAGGCAACAGTTTGTGAAACACTATGAAATAAGTTAGTAACCACTTCCTAAGATTGTGTGGAGAAGGAAGGTGGAGCAATGTTGAGTCATTTAATCAATGAAGGAAGTTTACTGAATGTGTTCCTGTATAATAAATGCAAAAATCACTGTGTAAAGAAATGATAAATTGCTATAAGGCAGAAGTTCCGTAAAAGGTGATGCTGAAAATGATGGAATAGCGGAGGAAAGACTGTTTATACCATGATTCTATTGCTTCTTAATTTCCTGCTGTTTTTTTCTATGCGTGAAGATAGAAGCTGACTTTTGAATGCATTAGAACTGGTGGGGAATTTTTTTTACGTTTTTAGTTGTCCTAGAGGGGAAGAGGCAGAGTTGGTGAGAGCAGTGAAAAGAGATTTTTACTTCTTTGGGGGTGGGTAAAATCTACTGGTATTAATCAAAATGGTTCAGATTTCTACATTTCTTAGAAATTTGTTAACTGGTTGCAAATTTGGTGTATTTTGTGTTGTTTAAAACTTCGAATAACTTTCGAAAACACTCATCTGTTTATATAATTTTGACTTCTGCAATCGCTTTTACATTTGGCTTGACTACCAATGTTTATTATCGATTGGTTAATAATTCATGAGACCCATGAAAAAGGATTGTAATACTCTACTATTTAGTTCACTAGAATTTTTTTATCTTTTTTGTCTTGAAACTATAAAATTCTGTCCTTTTGTTTTTTTTTAGTGTGAATTTCTTGCCATTCTATTTCACTGTTCATTATATTTTATGGAAGTTTTTGCACTTTCAGGGTTTATTGAGCTTGCCAGTTTTTGCACTACCTCGGGTATATCTTCATGAAAAATCTAGTACTAATTCAACAACTGGTCCTATCGGTATATCTGGTAATGAAGCATTGTCATCTCAGGTAAGTTTAGATATTGATTTGGTTTTCTTTTAACACTCATCATTTGCGATCATATTCTTCGCTTTGTCGGATAATATGGGTATGTATTTCGCAGGTTTTGGTGATAAATGTGAGACATGTGAGAGTTTTAGCAAACGTTTCTAGATTGTGTTTTGAATCGTTCTCCCTTTGCTAATGGGGTATCTCACTACATTGTTACTAGTTTTTGGCACTCTGCATCTGTAACGGTCTAGTTTTTTTACATTTGATGCAGCCACCTTATTATCCCTTGATTTCAAAAAATTTTTTAACGTATACATGTATATAGGTGAAAGTTACTTATTTAACTCGGTAATTTAATTTCTTTTTTTTTTGTTAAAGATAATGGTTTGATTGTTTGTTTACTAGAGTGCATTAGTTGGCGTTGGAGTGGTTGCAAAATACTGGATTTTTGTTGTCAGTTTTGTTTTGCTCGTTATTTCAATCCATTCACAGCCAGTTCTGTACACTGTTGGTTTTTTCATATCGTTCAGTGTGCTAATTATCCTGCTAGTGGTATGTTTCTCCCTTTTTAAAACAGTTGTGTTTTTAATATTATTAATTCAAATTCAATTTCATTCGGAGTTAAGTCTGATTTTATCAATCAAAAAATAAGTACTGTTATTCACTTTCAGTTAATCTGTTTTCTTAAAAGGAAATTTCCTATCAGTTAAAAGATCAAAAGACATTAGCCGTCTTAGTGTTTAACAAAAAAATTGTTTACGACATATTTATATCTCTAGTTTTTCGGAATCATCGTTATATCTTGTGGTAAATTGCTGTAGAGCAATTGAGTATTATTTATTTAGTTGAAAATAAAATTGAAATTTGATATATAGTCTTCTGAAAGTAATCCAGAAAAATAGTAAAACGAAGGTTTTCGAGCGGACAAGATAATAATTTACTTATATTAAACTTCATAATCATGCGTTGATTTACACAGGAATAGAATATGTCTAGACAGAAATAAATAGCGATCCTATTATTTTAACGTGTTAATTTTGTATGGAGTGTAATGTGTTGTACTTAATAGTGATTTCTTGGTTTTTTAATAATAATTCTTAAGTTTTCGAGTCTTTACTAATTGTGTAGGTAGAAAATAAAATATGATGGTCCTGGGATAATTCTTGAAACAGTTTATGTTATACCCTACCTAATTTGAATTTCTTAGGAACTGGATGCACATAAAATAAAATAAAATACTTTTTCAGTGTTCTTTTGGCTGTCTATGGCGTTTTTTATATAGTTACCTTGCATTCCTGACGATATATTCATTAACTGTGGTAATAGTCCTATATTGTTATCAGTTCCCAGCATTACCGTTGATCTGGCAGAAAGCAACAGGATTCAGTGATAACTGGAATCATGATATTGGCTTAATCAATTACAACCAAGAAAAAGATAAAGGGTAGGGATCTCTTTACATTTGATTCTAGTTTTGGGACTGTTCATGTTTTCATTTGAAATTTAATCCTGGGTGAAGATTAGTTATTATCATATGTCATTTAGTTCCTATTTTATAGCTTCACTGATATCTGTACACAACGATATTCAAGTATTCATTTTCAGATCTTTGCTAATTCATTTGGTTGGACCAATTTCACTTTTCATAGTGATCATGTTGCACATGAAATTCTTTTACGATCGATGGCGTCCGTTCTTTGCTGTTGTTTCAGGTGCCACTGATAATGAGATAGCTGCAGAAACTTTCGGTGGTAAGTTGTTTTTGATGCAGCTTCTTTAGCTTTCCTACAGCAGATCAAATGGTTGTAAAAATCTAAAGTTTGGGGTTCCTTTTTTTCTTTTTTTGTTTTTGCAGAAACTTCTTTATCGAAAAAGGAAAAGAGCCTCAAGTTCTCTGTAATAAGCCTAGCGTTATGATGCTCACTAGTTTAATTATCCATGTTCACGATTTTACCTATTTTTTCAAGTCCTGCTGAAATTACAATAGCGTAATGAATGTTTTTGGATAGCAGTTGTTATTGATCGATTTCAATATATTTATTTTTTCTTGGACTCTTTGGTTTATGTTTAACACAGGTTACAATTTAATGTATTGCAAACATCCTAGCTTCAGATGTTAAGTCATGAGCTATGTTATGAATTGTCTAAATAAAAATAACGGCGTACTGTCATTTCAGAGAACTTCTAGAGTTTAAACTTAATTGTCAAAGCTTTCGATCCTATTTCCCAATTACATTTTTTGGCACTTTCCTACAATTTAAGTTATACAGTCTTCCGTTTTTTGGTTCTCATGATTTTGCGGTGCTTCGAGAAACCAGTTCTTTGGATTTTCACATTTAAAATTCCAACTGTTCTCTTTTTTCCAATCATTCCTACTTAAATTCGTGATTATAATTTTGTTGCCTGTTGATTTATTCGACCTTTTTCTTATATATTATCAGGTTGATGAGGCGATTATCTTCAATCACTTGCAGTACTTAGGTAATGATTACACAGACAAAATCTGCGGAGCTCGTACAATATTTTTTTTCTTAAGTTTGTTCGTTGAGTAAGTATGGGATGGGCTATAAAAGCTTGTGCAAATGAACATTAGCTTGCTTCCTGTTCGTGAAAACAGTTTAAAATTAAATTATCTGAAGCTAATTTGTTTTTAGAATTACTTCCATGTAATAAATCGTAGATGTTGATTGTTAAAACCTTCCTTAGCATGTAACTGTTATTCTTACTTTAAATTCATGGAAATGGAGCTGAAATTATACTTTTCTTTTAGCTTGTTATTTTGAACAATTCCTTGCAATTATTAGTTATTCTAATTGAACTTTGCATAGTCAATTTTCGGTGATTTTATGCTGATATAATTACGTCGAGCAATTGTGGCTTGTTCTATTAGGTTGACATTCTGCAGCCTCTTTCATTTTTGCAGCAATCATTTAAGGTTTATTCAAATGGTAATAATTTGTTGCAGTCTCTCTCCCTCTCTTGCTTTGTTCATTTTGTAATGTCAGTTGTATGAAAATTCACTTCAAAATTTTTATCTTCTACATTCAACAACATGCGTATCATTTGTAGATTCCTTGGCAGGTAACTCATTTTTCTGCGTATTGTTCGTTTTTGAAATCTGGAATTTTTTAAAATTGGATTTGAAATATGTCTTGTCGTTACACATAAGTCATTTCTCAGGATGAAGGATTTTCAAGGGATAAGTGTTGAAAGTTTTGAAGAACTTTAGTAAGTATGTGAAACTCATTTTCATGCATGTAGATTATTTATTTAGTTACAGAGCAACAGATTTTTTATACCAAAGTGAGGCATATCGCAGAGTGTCTGGTGGAAGCGTTGTGGAACATTGCAGAAGCTCATGTGGCCAAACTTGTCATGTTTATCATAGTTATTGTTGCTGTCAATGATGTAAATTCATTGGTTTATTCAGAACTTATTTACCACTTAAAATTTATAAATAATAGCAACTTACGGATGTGGTTTTCGTTTTGTTAATTCTGATGGAACAACTTTCAGTTTCATTACTTTTGCTACTAAATTATTGGTTTGTTAGTGGCAGTGGTTGGAAGAAAATGCTTTTCATGTCACGTTTGAATGTTCGGTGCTGAAATAGGAAAATATTTCAATTGTTATGCTTTCATTTCCTATCTGGAACTAAAATTTCTGCAGATATGCGCCCTCAATTTAACATTAATGGTTTTAACTAGTATTGCTGTTTGTGTTCCATCAATCTCCTCGACTATTTTCCGGTTGTTATGTATATTCATATCAGCATTTATCGCAGTTAGAATGGTTTACCAGGTTAATTTTTTATTTTGTTATGATGTCCTCGATTTTGCAGAATACAATGGTGTCTTTATGCAAAATATACTTCAAGAAATAATTTATTGGTTAAATTTGCAGATGCATTTTGTGGTAGAAAAACCATTACCAGTATATTCGAAAGAGCTAATATGCAATTCATCTGAATACACTTTGAGTGCAACAGCATACTGGCTTGGTTTCCAAAAAGTACCGGTCGTCAGAAATTACATCAGTGTAAGTGAAGACTTTTAAATTTCATATCAGGAGTTAAAATTTAGATTCTAAAAGTTTGTACACCAAACCATTATATTTGCTTTCAAACATAGCCATATTTTACGTTATCTTTTGCAGGGTTTAATTGTTGCTTTATTAGCAATAGCATTACAAGCAATTGTTATCTATCGCCAGCAACATAAACGTTTGGTATCTGGGGCAAGTGTTCCGCCTCGTGGACTTGTGTTCCCGAAAGCAGATCCTAGCAATTGGGATACTAGTTTGGTTGATATGATCAAGTTTTTCTTCAATTATGGATTCTATAAATTTGGTTTAGAGGTACATTTATTTTGAAAATTTTAACTATATTATGATTATATTGACTTCTTTGCTATATATATATATATATATGTCTGTGCATGTAGAGTTCTGTTTTTAAATAGATTACCCTGGCTTCTTAGTTTAGTAAATCTGTCTTTCTGCAACTACTTAGTGAAGGGTCTTATGTTAACTTCGACGAACCTCGGTGTTGGACATTTACAGCCGATGTTTCTGCTTCAAAAGCGAAAGAAAATGTAGGGTATGAGAAAGCAAACTGTTTAACAGAAATAAGTATACGACGATTGTAAAATTGGAATGAGTTATGATGGAGTGTGTTAAATATCTCCGTGTATAATTAATAGATTAACCTCTGTTAACTGTGGCAGTTACAGTCAGGGCGAGTTTTAGTTAGCAGTAAGTTTTTTTTTTTTAAAAAAAAAAAACTATCTAAAAAAAATTTTTTTTAAATGAAATAATGAAATTCAGTAAGCTTTTTAAAAAACTGAAGTTGTCAATGACGATGATGGTCATAGTGGCATGGATACGAATGGATTTACTGGCAACACTTCTACTTATTTGGTTAATGGTATTTGTATTCAGCTCTCGTATAACTTGTCGTTGCTTATGGCCTATCTTCCTTCTTTATCTAACTGTCCTGTTTCCCTTGCAGTATGCTTTCTATGTTGGTTTGCCACCATTCCTTTGTTTCGGTATGTATTTCTATTTAAATTGGAAATATTGAGAAAAAAAAAAAATCTTTGAATGTGTTCCACAGTTCTTATTTTATGCTGTTAGTTTGTTTCTGCTTCATCTTTTTTTTTTTCATTGATATTTCTTCATTTCATTGCTTTTTCTTAGCTTTTCCCTCCCTCGAAATTTGTTTGGGGAATTTTGAAAATATATTCGGAAATGGTAAATACGTTCTTGCTTTGTATTCAAAGATTTTGCAGATTATCCATGGAGCAGGTGGTTATCAGATCCTTTGCAAAATGATAATTTGATATTTTGGTTGGATTTGGCTAGTTATCGCTTTCAGTTAGATACAAGGAAGTCAGTGGCGGACTTCCTACTCCTACTGATGGTTGCTTGTCAGGTAAATATTATTCATATTGGTTTCCAGATTTTAAGAAATCGTTTATTCAGTTTTTCTCCATTTTTATCCGTTTTAGGAATATGCTTTTCGAAATGAAACTGACTCACCAGCAGGTGACAATGAGTCCATTTATGCGAGCAGCGGACGTAATGGTTTGAGACGGGATAATCCAACATATGATTTCATTGCCCAACAGCGGTCAGTATACTGTTTCAAAAACCTCTTTTTATTGATTTTCTTAGAATCTGATGTATTAATTGAACAGCTTAACCTGTGAAGTATTATTTATGTTGAAATTTTTTCTAGGAGTTTTGTCGACTTCTTGAAAATAATTGTCTTCATGTACGGGCACTGGATAACTGTTGTAATGGTATTAGTAGCTGGTTTGGGTGGAGTATCTTTGTTTGCCCTTGGTTATATTATTTTGGCGTTTTGGATACTGTGGCAAGGAACAAGTTTATATATTGTGCTAGATTATCGCAAGACTCTCAAACGGTGGAACTTACTTTTGTACTATACAGTATTTGTCATGTTTTGTAAAGTTGTCTTGCAGGTAATTGTTTCTAGCATTTATGATATGTTTCCGAGTTCTCCAGGACTGTTTAGAATTTGGCTGACATGATCTTGATGTAATCGAGATATGACAGCACTTCAAGAAAAGTTATGTTAAATTTATCCATTCAAAGTTGTACTTCCATTTCTACTGGGCATTCCAGTGTTCACTTTTACTTTAAAAAGCTTTCTTTTGGGTACCATTCAGCAGTGCTGTAGTAAGTGAGGCAAGAAATATAATATGCCCAAAAGTCGTACTTCTGTATGGATTCCTGTCCTATTCGGCGTGACATTGATTAGGTTTAGAATTTCTTTTTTTTTTTCGCAACAGTAAAACAAAGTAGAATATTCTTTGTATCTTAACTTTAGAATAAGATTTGGTGATTGTTTCTCAGAAATTAGTCGTACTATTAGTACTACATCAACTAATGGCACTTTATCATCGATTGCTGTGATCAGATATTAGTGCATATTGATTATTTACATATTGACTGAATACTCCCCTAGCTTTGAACTATGATATATTTAAATTACCACCAGTGTCCGAAAAAGTCCAGCATCTTTACTCTCTAAGGGAATTTGTAAATAAATCTTTCGTTCCCTCCATTTTCACTCATTTTTTTTGAAATCTTTTGGAAAAATTTTTCTCTGTCGTACTTTTTTTACCATTTCAAAACAGTGTTTGTCTTTGTTTAAAGCACACAGGTAATGAATGCTTCTCTTATCAGGAAAATACAGAAACATATCTGAATTTTCGTACATTCATTAGAAAAGTGATCGTCTTTATTCGTAACTTTGTAATTCAGTGCATCTCAAGACAAGAAAAACTTCGGAACACGAAAAATCTTGGGGGAACAAATTCCAGTACAAAAGCTAAGATGAATTTTAATGACTGTAGTCATACCATTGGTTGCCGTCGATTTAACAGCTTGAAGTATAGGAACAACATGGTACTGCGCAATGGAGCAATAACGGTTTTGGGAAGCGTTTCATTTACCTATTCTAGCTTTGGTATCCTTTTGAATCATACGTTACCGACATAATCTTTTTTACTTTGCGTCACCGATTTCGCAGTTTTAATCTGGATTGCCAGATTTATATTCCTTTTTCTCCTGATATTTGAAATATAGAATTACAATGCAACTTACAAATAATTTATGGAGGTTATCAATCCAACCTATTCAGCCCATTAATATTTTTGACTGGTATCATAGAGATGCTAACGCTGAAGATGTTCTTTTCCTCTAGCTAGTAATATCCCTGATTTTCAAGTCCACCTTTTCTTTTTTCGTGAGTCCAGTCATATGTTAAAACTGGTTTTTGTTGGAGATTTTTGAACAGATTTGGAAATCTCGTTACTTTATTATTGACTCTAAAACAATAAATTAGTTTTTTTTAAAAAAAAAAAAAAAAAAAAATTTTCTGTGTTTCAGATTTTTGCATGTGCTTTTGTCCATACGCTGATAGAAACAAATCTCTGTTGTATTCGTCAGTTGTTTAGCATTGTTTGTGTGAGCATAATTCCTGGCAGAATAAACAATTATTACTTACCCAGTGAACGTAAGTTATTAAATTCAAATTTGTGCTTTCAGAATTTTCAAACTGATTTTTGATGAAGTATATTATTTCTTTCAGAACAAGAATTCGACAAAGAATGTGCAGTGCAAAAGTCAGAAACACAAATAGGCTTTGACACATTTGCATTTGGCTTATTAGTGTTACAACTTCGGATTTTTAATTCATGGTATTTCCAACACTGTGTGGTTGAATACCGATCTACAGCTGTGCTAATGAATCGGTATCATATGATTTTCCAACATGCTTGGATATCTAGGAATATGCACTAGAATATCTCGGATCGATTAAATTCGAATGGTTTTTTTAAACTAATGATTTCAATTAAATCCTTCCTCAGTCAGTCGGACTTTTTCCTTTTCAGTGGCACGGTTCTTCAAGACCAGCTTATAGAAAGAGAGATGATAGAGCAGAAGAAACAGCAAGAGAAAAAATTCAAAAATATTAAGATGCGTACGGATCAAATTCGTAAAGACTACGAAAAACGTCTAAGCAAGGCTGGCGCTTTTGTGCCGCAAACATACAGCCAAGGTCTGTTTTTCCTTTTAAATTTTCTTTATTGTTTCCACTTGAGTTTTCTTCCACTTGGACTGAATATAGAAAAACTCTGTAGTTTTTTTTGGCATTTGGCTTTTCTCCACAGTTCTGCGGGTCTTGAAATGTATCAGTTGAAGGTCAGAGAAATCGAAATGTAATATCATTTTGACTTATGCTTCCGAAGCTAGATATATTTTGATATATCTTATTATTAAATAGTAGTTTCTTCACTTTTCAAGTTTTCAAATGAACGACTTTAGAATCATTTGCTAAGAATATCCAACGAAGGACGATAGATTTCTTATATTCTTTTATTAGAGTTCTTTTTCTCTTCAAGGCTTGAATTCGAGTACTGCCGATTTCATAACTGAATTTTGGAATATCGCGTACATTTAGCACTCTTACATGGTTTCCAGTTCAAATCTTAAGTTTCTGTCGTATTCTCTTATTTAGATGTAGGTTTCTTGGTTACTTTTTTTGTTTTCATCGGTTTTTTTTATCTGTGATTCAGGTTTCAGTTTCCAGCATTACGCACTGTTCACTTATTCGTCCATCAATGACACAACTTTTGTTTTTGAATGAAACTTTATATGTTTCATTTATTATAAGTTCTAAAGGTGTTATAAAAATTTGGTTCGGTTATTCTGGAGTTTCTTCATTCTTGTTCATTTGCTGCTCTTGTTTTTGTTTTCAAACTCAGCGGTGTTACTAATTTTTCAAGCCGCATTATGAATACTTTTTTTAGGGTATGAATCTTAATATTTCATTTTTTTATGTTCCTATTAGTGTTTCGTTCTTTACAAATCCACTGTTATTGTGTTTGGTGTGTCCAGGAACTGAGGCGCATTATCCGAACAATCCTAATCCGTGGTATAGGCTGAGCGATTCGAGTGAACGTTCGGACTACCGAGTGCTTGGTTTGTTTTGAAAAAATCCCTCTGCAAACGTTGCTTGGCCTTTTATCTACATAATTGTGCTTCTAACGGCATACACTTTTTATCTAACATTCATATATGCTAACCTATTTAATCACTTCAGTTTCGCTCCAATTTTTTCCACACATGAAACATTTGCTGGACCTTTCTTTTTTTCTCTATTTCTTGTACGTTCAGGTTTTCCTAAATTTTCTGAAAGAAGACGAGATAAAAGCACCAATCTCAAAATCAAGAGATATCTTACGAAAATGATTACTTTCGATATCAACGTGAATACTTTGAATAGAAGCTGTTAATGCAACAAAATTTCCTGCTTTCATATTTTCAGCCAAAAGAGCTGGTGATTATTATATGTTCGAATATGATCCATCAGAGGATGCACTAGATGAACCAGTGGAAACATTTGTTCCAGAAGTGACACCAGGAGCCAGTGATTTTAACAAATTAGACCCAGCTCAGGTTAGTTTATTTATGCTTTATTTTTTTATTGAGATTTATTTTTTTAGGAATTGGTGAGTCAAGTCAGAATTGTTGCGGGCATATTTACATCAATTCTGTAAGTTCTGAGCAAGCATACTTTTGATTCATATTTCTTCTTCACATTTTTGAGCTCACATATTACTATTTTAGCTGATGCATACAGCTGTGCAACGTGACCTTGATTTGTCTCAAACTTTGGATGCTATTAATTCAGCTGAACGAATTGAAACTGATGAAGAAAGACGTATGATTAAAGCTGTTTCGGACGAAATGAAACCATCCCGACAAATGGTAGTAGTGTCGGAATTATCAGAAAATGAAGAACGGAAGTTCGGTATTCTCTTCTATTAATTTATAAGCTGTTGATAGCATAGGTTGGCCTCCAGCAATCGGTAGTTTTAATGACTTCTGTAATTCAGCTATTTGTCTTTTCCGGTCTAGTTGTATTGTAGCATAGTGAGATAACCGATAGTTTCAAGTTAGTTGTTTAATCCTGTCTCACTTTGGTTTGAACAGCTTAAATTTGCTTTAGAAAATTTAATGTCTTGAATTGCTTTGTATTATTAGAATTATAACCTGGAAATTTTCAGAAGGGCAAGTTTTAGCAGGATTATGTTTTCTGCAGAAGATCTTCACTGCTGCGCTTGGTTGGTCTGTCGCTTTCCTAAACCGTAGATCTCGTGAACATCGATATGTTGCTTATGTCCTTGGGAAAGAAAAAGAGAAGCTAAAGGAGAGGCTGAAACAGGTATTGTTTTGTTATAATTTTTGAAATTTTTGCGCATTATTCTGTCATTTATCATGCCTCTGATTTCATCCCCATATTTTGAAAAGGTCGTCAGATAAATAGTTGGTTTTTGAAAAATAATGGTAATGCTGCACTCATTTCCAGTATGTTTGAGTTAAATAAAATAATTCATAAATTAGTTTTAATCTGGTTCTTTGTTTGAAGTGTCTTTCAAACTCTATTTTTACAAAACGTAACTGGTTTTTTCCTTAGATGTTGTCATAAAGGTTGCAGGAGTTGTTCTGGAAGAACTGATTTGCTCTTATGTCAAAATTTTTGTTCCTGTAACATAAACATACTACTGCTTGTTGTTCTGTCATAATAAATCAAAGCTGCAACTTGTTAGAAGCGATAGCTCTAGTGATACTTCACAGTTTATTGGTTTATAGAATGTAGTAGAGTGTGAGTTTCTTAAGTCTTGGCTTTAGAATATCCAAATACCATGTTATTGTTGCCAGTGCCAATTAATCGTAGTGTGGATATAAATTCGTAAATTCATTTTGCTGGTTGATTTAAACTTAGCGGATTGTGATTTTAACAGTTCACAACTCAAAATTTTCACCATAAGTGTGTATCTGTGTGTGTGTTTCATTACTAGAGATGTCTTGGTGGAGAGAAAAAATTCCGCTGGGTTTCATAAAACACTTGACGAAAGTTTTTACCAATTTTTATTACTTCTAACCGATTTTCTTGGAATTTCTGGTCTTTATTATGTTGCGAATCCCGTGAGTACTATTTTAGCCACTGGTGGATACTTCCAAATCAGTGTTTGACATTCGACAGGAATTTAATCAGCAAAATTTACGTTGTGTCACAAACGAAAAGGACATTGAAAGGTTATTTTGATTTTTTGTTGAAATTTTGTCATCTGTGAAGTTATTCCGAGAATTTTCCTAACATACAAATTATTTTTAAGTTTTTGATATTTAGCATATATTTAACACAGTTAACACATATACGAGAATTTTTAACATTTAGCATATAATTATTTCACCTGGAATGTCACTATATTTAACCTATAAAATCTGATGCTTTTTTTTTTCTGTGATCCATAATTTAAATGAATATTTAGTAACAAACATTTTCGAAAAGTATTTTTTTAAAGTGATAATAATTAGAAGGTATCTTTGACAATTATTTGACCTGGAATCTCGCACTTCATATAGTTTTTTTTTTCTTGGCTAGTACAGTTTAAGCTTTCAACTGGGTATGAAAATAAGACTTTTGTTTTAAGATTAGAAGGTGAAGTGGAGAATCAGTGGGAACAGCGAAATGTGTTTTTGCGCTTCGTAAACGCAGTTGGATATTGCATTGCTGCTCATACTGATGTTATTTGCTACCTTCTGGCCATAATCAACCATGCCCGATGTGCTGGCATCATTTCATTACCACTACCTCTTCTCATTTTCTTTTGGGGTTCCTTAACAAACCCTCGTCCAACAAAGATATTTTGGGTAATTTTTCTTGAGTTTGTTTTGGGTCCATCTGATTTCTTCATATCTATGACTTGTATTTCTTTGCCGGCATTAAATTCAAACACAATTGGGAATTTGGTGAAATAAGCTTTTAATTATATTTTTTAGATTGTAATGATAACTTACACAGAATTGATAGTAGTTATCAAATTTGTCGCGCAGTTTGGTTTCTTCTCGTTTAACAGCACTGCAAATATTATCAGAACTGCTAATTCTGTTGATTACCTACCCGGAATTTTGGGCATTCGAAAGACGGATTATTATGCTTTCTGGGATATCACCTTACTTGTTGGTACATTTTAAATTCAGAAATTTTTTTGGTGATAAAACCATTGAAATCGATAAATATTTTGATTAATATTCCACTGTTTTCAGCTCTCTTTTTCCATCGCTATATGCTTCGAAAATTGGGTCTATGGAAGGGAACAGATGACATGTTTAAAGCATCAATTCCGCTTATAGAAATAAGCAATCCTACTAATTCCAGTTTGTCGGATACAACGCAAATGAATGTATGTTTTTCATTTACATGGAAGTCAGTTTTGTTGTTTCTGTAAAAAATATACAAAAGAACTGTTTCTCATTCTTTTCGACATCTTCAATAAATTTCAGACTGATTTCGGCATTGTACCAAGGACAAAAGAAGGTAAGTCCATTACTTGCCTTTTTTTCTGATCTGAAAAAGTATGAAATTTCAGTTCTAAAAATATTCCTCGCCATCATCTCCGTTTGAAAGTTGCAGCTCCAACGCATATTAAACGCATCAAGCATTTCTTTAATACGCTGTTTAATCCACCAGTTCGATATATAAAAGATTTATATCCGTTCATGTTTTTGATGGATGTATTATCTTTCTTCGTAGTGTCCTTTGGCTTTTCTTCCTTTGATTACGGTGGTACTGGAAGCGTTGTACGAGATATCAGCGTAATATTTTTGGAATTTTTGATTTTTTTATCATATAAAAATTGTTGACAGAATTTACAGTTGCATTGTTATTTAACTGACTTAAACATACTTTTCAGTCGAATCGTGTTCCAATAACATTTGTAATTATGCTTATTGTAATATCACTGATGATTATCATCGACCGAGCTTTCTATCTTCGAAAAGCCGTAAAATGCAAATTTCTCTATCAGTTGGTTGTTGTTATTTTCCTCCATGTTTGGATATTCTTCGTTTTACCGCAAATAACTTACAAGTCAGTTGATTAAACATTTTCAGATGGTAAATTCAAATTTCGTTGACTGAAGGCAGATTAACAGTGTACTGACTTGCATTAGTTTTGGTAGTGTTTAGTGAAGAATTAATATCTAAATTATAAGTAAAAATTTCAGACCTTCTTGGCTGAACAAAACTGCCCAATTTCTATACTTCATTAAATGCATATATCTCCTAATTTCCGCCTGGCAGATCCGTAATGGATATCCGACACTGTGTGCAGGCAATCTTATAACACATGCATACGGCATTACGAATATGATATTCTTCAAACTGCAAGTTATTTTTATTATCAAACTGGTTCAAACATTCAATTTATTAGTGGGTTGTGGGCTGTATTCACTGGTCAGACAGATGTCAGTGCCAGTTTTCGAGATATTTCATTCAATTCAACCAGTTGTTGGTTACTAGATGATTTAGATCTCTTGGTTTCAAGTGTCTGCTTGGCATGCTAAAAACTTGCAGTAATAACTCGTACTGCTCCTCTTCATTACTCAAAGGTTGCTATTTTTTACAGCAGTGAAGTGCCAAAATCAAATTTATTCGTAGTTTTAAAAAATAAAATTCTTATTGTTTTGATTATAGTAAAGTGTTATTTCCAGATTTATGGCCGTCCCATTCTTGTTTGAATTACGTACGGTCACTGACTGGACTTGGGCTGACACTTCTATGCCGATGTTTGATTTTTTCAACATGGAAAACTTTTATGCTATTATTTACAATCTGAAATGTGCTAGGATGTATGAGAAAGTAAGTTATTAATAATTATATAATATTTGCCTCTTTTCGTATTTTTCTATATTACTGTTTTATATAATTTAACATTTTATTTTTTGCTTTTCATGATCTATCTTTGTTCATTTTAATTGCCAAATATTTATAAATTCTACCGATTTTGTTTTTTTAAATGAATTTAAGTGAATTTCCAGAACTTTCCGACTCCAAGAGGTGTAGCCAAAGGCGTTGTAATCAAATATTTAATGGGCGTACCAGTGATATTGGGACTTATTCTTCTTATCTGGCTGCCGTTGCTTTCATTCTCGCTCCTGAATAGGATTGGTATTGTATTACCACCGAATAATGTTGTGTTGACCATTGGAGTTGAAGGCTATCCCGTAAGACTTTATCGTAACTTTCATAGAAAAGGGAACTTTAATTTCAACAATGTTTTTAAATAAAGAATTAAGAAGAGTAAGTAATCTCTAACAATTACTACTATTAAGAAATTTAGGATCAGTACATGTGGTGAATTATGAATTAAGATTGCATATTGTTTTTATGAATTAAGGATAGATTCCTTGGTTTTTATACTGCTAAAATTCTAGTCCATGTTCACTATCGAATCGCAAGGTATTGAATTGGAATTCCTGACTGATGCTGAATATGTCAAATTAGAAAATGCTTTCTCTGAGCACTACACTTCCTCGGACACAGAGTCGATATTAAGAGCGCGTCATGCTGTTGCATTTATCAGAGAATACAATCGGGAAAGTGTTATGGTAAACTGTATTTAATTTGTGTTCATTGCATAGGAATATGTTATAATAGACGAAAAACTGCATCCGAGGTGTTCATACAAATCTTTCCGTGATATGCAAGAAGCACTATAATTTTATCACTGAAATACTTCCTGTTAGTAATTTTCTTATTCATCATAATGAATTTTGACTAAAAATTTCTTGCTATATAACCTGAGTTTGAAAAATACCTACTAAACAGTGAACTCCAAAAAAAAAAAAAAAAAAAGATTAGATTTGTTATTTTTTATATTTCTTAATAGAATCTATGTGATGCACAAACCAGGGATGCTTTCAGCATCTCTTTTAAGTGGCATCCGTATAAAACTTCACTTGCATCCTTATTATTTCTAACTTGACGATATGCAAAAGCAAGCATGTACTGTATTTTATGTGGTATCAAGCAAGAAACTTCTCTATATGCTTTTAGAAAGTGCGTTTCCGCCCTGAATCACACATGCCATGGCTGATTTCGAGCGATGCATTGGTTGCTATGAAGTATGAACTCAAAGAAGGAACAAAACGATTGAATGCCATCGTGAAGTAATCTCTAGTGAACTTATGTTTTTGTAATCTTAGATTGTAGGCTATATTCATTTATATTTATTAAAATTCACTCAATAGATTTGATAATTGTCGGTGGGTTTAAACTTACATAAACATTGAAAGTTGGGAAGGTAAATAACAAGTTTTTCAGGCTAATATCTTGTTTTGTTTTGAAAGTTGATTTTTTTCTGTATCATCTTCCAGGACTTCAATTCTAAGGAGTTTTTCCCGTGAAGTGTTTGCATTCATCCATACACTTCACCTTTATGTATCGTTCCTCTGAGAAATTAGTCTTACATTTATTATCATGCGGATAATAAATGAATTGATGTTTTTTTCAAGATTCACGTGCGAGCGCCCTAACAGTAGACATGCTGATTATTCTACACAACATTCTTATACATTAACCATTCCTTTACCAGTAAATTCCACTATACGAAGCGAACTGGCCGAAATTGTAGATGGTCAATACAATCATAGTGTGAGTTTTAACATTTGATTTCCCTCTTCATATTTTTCGAATTGTATAATTGTTTTAATGCAAATCTATAGATGTTGTTGGAAAATGCGTGGCCACCATATGTAATTATTCCCAATGAAGGAAATGTGAAACTGGCTTCTTCCTTACTTCATGTGATCAGTGGGTCAAATCCAAAACTTTGGGAAGCTTTTTCCAATATATCCATGAGACTAAGAACCGTTTACACTTCGGTGAGTGTTTCATCTGTTGGTCGATATTTTAAAAGTCTTGAATGTAATCAAATAACATAAATGGGAAGTGAGTTTGAAGAATCTTAAAGAGTAGGTATTTATTTCAGGAAAATAAGATATGGAGTGCATCACTGATTCAAAATAATGAAACTGCAGCACTTACGTTACCACTAGAAGACATTAAATACGAAATTCGCCCGGAAAAGTACCTGCAGATGATTGTGTTCGTAGATCGTGTATTCCCATCATTTGTTAGCAAATATGTCCAAGGAGGGTATGCAGTTTGAATTTTATCTTTTAGAAAGCAGCTAGTCTATTGAAAGCAGTTACTTCTTAATCCGATTCAAACTCTCTTCACTGACCATTTGCAATACATAACTGGCCTTCCGCTTGTTGAAGTTTTTACAGATTGATTAATATTTTATTTTCTTGCATATTTATACATTCTTATTGTCAGCGACGTTGACAAATCCCAAACTGACTCCTTAATCTTTGTTTTCCAGTATTATTGCAATGTACCTAGCTGTAGTCATGTTAGTGGGACGTATGATACGTGGTCTTGTAATGAATGCTGGTTTGGAAGTCATGGTTTCTGAAATTCCGAATCCGGATCACTTACTTAAAATATGCCTTGATATATATTTGGTTCGCGAAGCGAAAGATTTCGTTTTAGAACAGGTCTGATTACTTTGCTTATGGGAGATATTACTTTCCATAACAAATTTTCGAATTGTTATAAAATTTTACATTGCATGTATTCTCAGTAATATTTTGAAGGATTTATATGGCAAATTGATCTTTCTGTTTCGATCACCTGAAAACCTTATCAAATGGACACGAAATAAAGTCAAAGCTGATTAATTTGAGAAACCTGATCGACATTTCTGATTGCTTATCAAAATATTTTACAAATATAAGATGTGTGTATTAAAGCCAATTATCAATATACATAATTCTGATAATTGAGAATGAAGGTTCTGTGTACGTAATTTGATATTTATTATAATTTTGTGAGCTTATACATAACCAAAACAAAAAGTTTTTGTATTTTATGACTGCAAAAATATTATATTTTTCTTTCGTTTCAGATCACCTAAATTTTTCTTTAGTCTGCTGCTTATTGCTTTAAAAATCATAATGTTTTATAAATTCGTACTCTGAGTTGTTTCTAAAACCTTTCGATCAGTCTGATTTGAGCTTAACCGATCGTGTTGATTAGATAGCTCGTCAGTTCCAAATGCTACGCTATTAATTAATAGCTTTTTTTCGAAGTATATTGATTACGAGATTTTATGTATTTGTTGAAGATCCCCTTGATTGCTTAAAGTTTTTGATTTTTTCAACTAATATAAGACGTTGGGCACTACTTCAAACAGGTTATCTTTTCATCGGAATTGTTGCACATTTCGTTATAACTAATGTTTACATTTATGAAAAGAAAAAAGAACACGATATCTGTTCTCCTCAACTTGTTCTTATTTGGAATTTCTTATCCGTTTGTTCAACGTTTAAGCCTACTCAGCGGGATTATTTCATAATATATAAAATATGTTCCCATTGTTGTTCATGAGATCAATACCGTAGCAGCCTTTGCAACTTTCTTACTTTTTGCTTTTGATTTTTTTCAAATATTCCCTGATGAAAATTTTATTCCCACAAGCTGGTAAGCCACACACATTTGGATACAATAACGTTTTGGTTACGAATGATATAAATAAGTTCTGGGAGTTTAGTGAGCATTGTGTAAAATTTGTAGACATGAATGACGATGAGCAGGAAGTATAGTGCTGAAAAATTTGGTTGCGAGACTGAAGCACGCAATTATTTTATGTATCTGGAGTAAACTGGATTATCGTCACTTATCGGGGGATTAAAAAAATAAGATGTGAAGGAAGATCTTACTGATGATTGGATTGTGGGGTGAATTTTTAATAAAAATATTCCGACAACAATCATCTAATGAGAGGAGAGCGGAGAACTTTAGAAAATTTTTGGATTTTAGGTTAGCATTCCTAAAGCCAATAAGCAGGCCAGCAAATATTTCATTAGCAACGCCTCTGTGGAAGCAAGAAGGCAATCATATAGCCCTTGTGGAGAACGCATCGCCGCGATTGACGAAGGAGCACTTTGCTGAAATTGTGATAGTCCACCGGTCAACTCCTGGGATTTCTTTTCACGACTACTTTGGAAGGTTAAATTATATCCAGGGAAGAAAGGTTTTAAATTTGTGAAGTACTTTTTCATAAATGTTACGGTTTTAGTCACCTGAACTATCAATAAATTGATTGTTCTTACAAATTATCTCTAAATTCTTGACATAAATTGTGCTCTTCGGTTTTTGACCAAATATGCCATCTTTGTATTCTTTTGTTGGGCACTTTTATATTTTCTCATCTCGCATATTAATATTTGAATGTATTTCAAATACTTTAAATATTTTCTCATAAAATTTTATAGAAGTAATAGCTAAGGAATTTTATTGTTAACAGTTGGCATGGTCTTATTCTGAATCTTCAGAAGATTTCTTCTCGCTTCCTCAAATCTTGATAGCACTTTAAGAATGTTCCAGTGAATTCGTGACTGCATCCTGAATTTGTTTTACTTCATCACTTTCTGCACAGTAATACCTCTGATTGAGAAAATTAAGTGTTTAGTCAGTTGCTAGTTATATAAACGTAATATTAACCAGACGAGGTACTTACCCATCATGTCGTATCAACGTGTCATATTTCATTTTGTAGAAGAATTCATGACATATGAATTCTCGACTTTGCATGATACATTGTACATTAATTTTAAGGGTTCCAGAACTTACTGTATTATGTCCTATGCTAGATATTATTGAACCCTGAAATTATATGACTGGCTCTGTATCCGTAAATTCAAATTAGTCTTTTCATTTCTTCTAACTGCTGTATTACCATCAGTTTTTAACTAATGTAGGCGGGTTTTTTAGTGTTTTGTTTTGGATGGATATTTTCCCCATTATTTTCACTTGTTTTACTCCAAATAAGTGATAGCAAACGATGATCTTACTACTTTATGCGTCGCAGATTCACTCGTTAAAATTGATTCTGTCCGCTTAAAATAAGCCACTTCGGAGATGAAGTTCTCGAACAGCATATTTTTCCTGTCATGTTTGTGGTCATGTCGCCAACATTTGATGTCATATTGATATCTGAAATAAATTAAAGAGGAATTAGTTTTAAATTGTTACGTTTTCAAAGCTGGTTTATAGAAGTAATTGGTACTGATACTTGTTAAAGAGTAACAAAAAAAAAATAGCCTTCCGGGTCGAGAGGGAAGTGTTAAATGCCCAAAGCCATTTACGAAGAAGCATCCCCAGCAATCTTCCCCAGAAAGTCGGAATATCATTCTGGGCCAGAAAAAATTCTCGAAAAATTGTTCCTGTGCTTTGACTATTAATGTGATGGAGACTGGTTGTGAAAATACAGCTACGTCATCCTGAAATTAGATGAATGTTTCTGAAGGTTAGGTGGTAATTTTACGCAGGTCTTTTTCAAAAACCTGGATTGCATTAGTGGTTAAGAAAAACACCTCTCCTTGTGGACTTGAATCAATAACTGTTGACCATCTGTGCACCGGAGATAAATCAATTAGTGCACACTGCAACGGCAGGTCAATTTTATACTCAATACATAAACCATCGTGAGGGAAGTTCACCGCTCGTTCTGTAATATATTCTCTTCAAGACGTACTACAAACATTTGTTTTCATGAATTCACATTTACTGAAAGGAATGATTGAGTAAAATTGACTGGTAATTTTATTACGGTGTATGTTTCGTTTGAAATTGTAGAACCTTAAAGCCTTTTGTTACTACTAACCAATATCGATAAGGTAAACAAGTTTTGTAGTTTTTCCGGATGGAAAATCGCTCATTGTGTCACTTTCTCCTTTTTCAAACCATAACTAAAAAGGTAATTTTTTGGGATAAGTCTTCACATAACACGAATATATACATCTGTATGTATAATACAAATATGGGAATTTTGGAAGATTTCGAACTATAACTTTATAAAAGTAAAAAGACCTGATATGCGCTGGCGTCATCAATACGATCAAATTTTTCATTGCTGATAAGCGACAGACGGGCTTTGTAAATACCATGACAACTTTCAATAGTGTTACTTGCGGCAAGCAAGTCTGGTTCTATGATAATATTTGTCCCGTTGATTGCTGTCATTTTGCATAAAACATATTGGTTACTTTCATCACATATTTGCCTGTGAATTCAAGGATCAATTAAATATAAGTTAGTTGAGCACTTTTTTTCTGACATATCAATATTACTGGCATTGATTTTTTATTTCACAATCAGATACAGATTGTATGAAATGGAATTGCAAGAAATTATGTTAAAGAAAATTATGTTCAAGACATTAGGTTAAAAAACCCAGGAATTAAGTTGAAATGAGTAGAAATCAAATAAACCTGTTGTTCTGGAGTGGGCCCAAATAAGCCATAATGTACATCATCTGCTTGTTACGCTCTACACTTCGTGTTTTTATTTGATGTTCCTTACGTGGTAAATCAATTATTGGTTTTCGATGTGATATCCTAAAATATAACTTTGAAATTCGAAATAAGTGCATTAATTAGATTTTAACATTGAAATTAAAGTGCAGAAAAACCATCTTACACTGCTGGCTCTACTCGTCTATTTTTGGACGTAGCTATTCTTTCTGCTAAGCTACTTTCTCCTTTCGCAATATTCAACTTCGAAGTTGTCTGGAATTTACTGTTTTGTTTCATTTGAATCATCTCATAATTTCAGTTTTTCATTTTTCTTCATAACTCTCCCCTCATTAAATATACGAAACAAAATTTTCCAACTGTAACACTAGCATGGTCATAACACTAAAAAAAAAAATGTGATTACCGTCGTTTTCAATGCCATTGCTAACTCATTAAAAGTATTAAATTTACTGTTCAATATCAGTCGTTTATGTTATAAGTCATAAATCCTTTTTTACTTCTTTAAGGTTTAACTTTAACCTTTGCAGTCCCGGTAGGTTTTTCACCATCAATAAGAGTAAACACTCTGCTGCCTGCAATTCAAAAATATAAATACACACGGGCGATTGAAGTGCGAAATTGCTATTCATGAACTAATAGGATCATAACGCTGGAAAAAAATTTAATTGTGATTACCGTCTTTTTCAGCTGCCATTGTTATCTCATCCTGACTTACACTGCCCTGTTTAGAACAACTTTCGGTTTGCGACTGTGGCACCTACAAGGTCTGCTCAATTTACAGTTCAAGTTGCAATTAAAAACTTGTAGATGGAAAACAAGTAAAATGAGGAAATGCTGCATGAATAGCTTATGAATAGTTTACTTACAAATTTATCCCTTCTAAGGTAAAGTTTTTGTTGCCACCTGAAAGTACACTCTTCCACAAAAGTAGTTGACAATGCGGGAACAGACTTTTCGCTGATATTTTCGGTAAAATTATCGAGTGATTGCGGTACATCAGCTACTGGCTCGTTGTATTCAAGGACCAATCTGAATCGTGACTGGAAGGTCGGTTACCAACGCAGCATTCAATTAATTAAAATTAAAAAAAAAATTAACTAAAATTTTGACATAACTTCATATTTTGGTGAACTAACATAAAAAGAATACCTGAATTTAACGCCAGTAAGTGGACTGTTTGCAAAATAAACACCTCTTTGTTCAGGCATATTTCAAAATGATCGATTTTATTTGAAATAAAGAGAACTAAAAAATTCACTTCAGAGATTTATGTATTTCGGATCGATAGAAATGATTCAGTTTATGAGTGTTGGCTGCTAGGTAACCAAAAAGCAATTTGCTGGTTTCGCGACAAGTAGTATATAAAACTAGTAGGATTTGATTGAAACTTATGCAAACTGAACTGTGTTATTTCAGATTTTACTTCCAAAAAAAATTATACATAAATAGCTCGAAATTGTTCAGTTATTTTATAGAATCTTTTCATCTCCAGCTTTTATGTATCAAATGACTAATTTAATTTCCCCTTGATTTTGATTTAGCACATTTGAAGAGGAAATTTTAACACTTCATAAAAATCGATTTGGAAGGTGATGTTGGTAGTAATTATTAGTATATTTTAAAAGTTCCTCTATAGAATTTTTGCTGGTCGATGGATTGTTTTGTTGCTTCGCTGATTATTTGAAAATTCAATAGACATTTTGGAAGAAAAAAAGGTTTAAGATTATTAACTTAAGGTATTAACACCTTCATGTTACATAACCGTCTTGGAAACGCAAAAGTCAGACCGAAACGCTATTTCGTTGGTTAAACCAACAAGGAATTTCTAGTTGAAGATTTAGTAACTGTAATTAATCCCGAGATAACTGTTTTTGTAAAACGGTGAATAGATTCAAAGTTTTAGGAAATGCTAGAGAGTAACAATTTGCAATATACTAGAGGAACAGTTGGTGGTGTAAGAAATAATGAGAATTTGAAATCAGATTATTCATAACATTTATAAATCTGATTGAATCAGCAGTCCTTCATGTCACCCAACTAATGACAGTGTGAGAATCCTTTAAAAAAGTAACTTGATTTTTTGAGATTCCAGAATCATTTTTCCAAAATTATTTTTGCACCATTGAAGAAGTATATTGCATTCTAGGTTAAGCAAGCCATTTTAAGCATAACAAATTGGTATGTCCCAGAGTATATTAAGCGAGTAAATACGTTTTTACTGACAATTGTTTCAGTTAGACGTAATATACAGAAATTTCGTCTGCGATTATTCTCTATTTGCTACTTTGTCTTCCACTTAAGGAACTGTTTACCGATGCGATCGACATTCATCCAAGCCAGCGGCATCTCTCACATCCATCTTCCACAGACAGCACTCATGCACCAATTTCAGGCAATACAGATCTCACTTCTCGCCTAAATCACCTAAAAGAACATGAACAAAATATTTCTTCCATATACAACTATCGCATCACGAGTATTTGTCATTTCATTCCTTCATTATAAGAGTTTGAACGGTCGCCTTATTTATCCAATCGTTGTTAGTCCTTTTGTTAACGTACTTATGGTCATCAATTTTGATATCAAGAAATTTATATTACAGCACTTTTTGAGTCCACAGAAACACACATATGAATTTTGTAATTTCTCACAGTGTACTGAATTCCAATTTCTGATAATTTTTCGGTTATTTATTGTAATACATGTGCATTAGGGCTAGATTATTTTCAGCTAATATATTAATAGCAACTAAAACATTGTAATCAGATTGGTCTTTAAGGAAACCAATACTTTCACATTTGAAATTGACAATGTTTTATGGCAAATTCTGTTAAAATATTGAGAAGCGTTTGGAATTCTGAGAATGCATAATCCCTGGAAGCTATCCATAATGAGAAAATCTGTTTATGAAGCGATAAATCCGTTATTTCGCATTTACAAAAAAGAAATAAAAGCAACTTTCAGGATGAATGATGTGCCATTCAGTGCTTCATAAATTTAAGCGATGACAAAATCGCTAACAAAAAATGCTACAAAAACTCAAGAGCTTTAAGTAGATTTAACAAACCAAAACGTTCGGTAAATTACATAAGATTATGTTCCTTTTTGTAACTTACCGAAAGCTTCTGACAGAATTCTTATTTTAATCTGGCAACTGCTCGAAATTATTGTAAAATCCATAGGTTTTCAGATCGGTTTATGATAAACATAAAATATTTGGTACAAAAGAAATAATTGTTAACGTGGAATATTTGAGTGTTTGTTAGGCAGAATAAAGCGGTAGTTGCAAAAAAGGTGGGAGATGGACAAGCATAGAGGGAGGGATTCAGGTGATGTAATTTATGATTGCGGTTTCCCAAAAAGCACATGAGGTCGAGAATGCGTCATGATGTCAAGACTTAGAAAACACCGGCAGTACGACCTCATCCCATTTCCATAAATCTGTTACACCACCGAATGTGATTGCGCAAAGGCGCATCTGCTTCGGTAATACCATATAGATTGATCCTCTTTCAATCGTGCTCTTAATTAACTCACCATCCGACGTCTCTAATTTTACTATTCTACTTTTTTTTTCTTCAGATCATTTTGGAGAGAAAGAAAATCGTTAGCATCACAATTGTAGCCATGTCTTCTCGTAACGATATGACCTCGCCATTCACCTTTCAAAATTGCTCTAAGCTTTGAAAAGTTTTCCCATTCCAACAATTCTTTTGATATTATTATTCAAAATACAGAGTTTTATGTTATAGATTGCACTTCTTTATTTTATAATTCACAACAAAATCATTTTACTTTCCGGATTAAAAGAGACTGAAAAAGAATCTTTCCTCCACAATAAAAGAAAGCTGTGAAGAATTTTCTACTGTACCTGAATAGTAAGTTCTTCCTTTCACTTATAATATTCTACATACCTTATTTAACCCTCCATTAAACAACATCCTTTTCAACTCCTATTGCTTCCTATTGAACATTTGTTTCCTTAAAGTTCGTACTTCATAACTGATCCACATACCACATAAAATAAAACTGTTGTAATGAGTCATTTAAAATGGATTCAGTTTCTATTGTATTATAAATAGAAGTTTCAGAGAAGATTTCATCCACATATCCAGTGTATTTGTATTTTCATATTTGTATTCAGTACTGGATATCTGAAGTCTCTTCTTCGTTACATGAGTATTTATTGTTAAAATAATAATCAGTAGAACTAAGGACTGATTGTCATATTAACTATATATTCATCACATAAGCAATCCTCGAATAATTAGATTAATTATATGGGTGATAGGAAAAAAGTTTGTCTGTTATGGACGCAGAAATAAAAGAAGGGCCAAATTGTTACGAGAATCAACTACGAGCCATGTCGATGTGTTGGTCTGGATTTGACCCAGTGGGTTCAAACGGCTTCATATCCAGTTGTTCGCATCAATTAGTAACATGCCCAACGTTATCGATGACAATTGCCAAGCAAAAGGACCAGCAGGTTATTCTTAACAACCTTTTGAATAAGTGTCACTTCATAATTTAAGTAAACTTCCTATTCATTGATGGGCAAAGTGCTCAATTTACGAAGCTTATTATTTTAAAAGTTCATTGCTTACAGATAGTGCATCCGTTTCATCCATGCAGTTTCGTCTCCTTTGCGCAACATTTCTCAACGCTGTCTTTCAACAGCAACAGTACTACGCCCTCAACCTCCTCTTCATCGTCATTCCCAGCACCAACTAAAAAGAAGCCCGTCCCCGTTCCTGAAAATTTGAAAGACGAAGTAAGTGCATCTTTGGGCTGCCTTATTGCTTGAAGATCTTTCCTATTGCTTCTTCTATGCCTCACATGATCTCTACGCCGAATTTTGCGACAAACATATATCAACGATAACAGAATTGTAAAAGACTCATTATTTCTGCATTAAATTAGTCTTAATTAGAAACCCATCCCTGTCTCGTTCAAGAATTTTAGGCATATCGTGAACGTAGAATGAGAAACAATGAATCAGCTAGAAAATCCCGAGAACTTAGGCGCCAAAAAGAAGAATCGACGCAAATACGATGTGATCAACTCCTGCAGGAGAATCACATTCTGCGAGCCGAATTGTCTCTATTACGAAACCAAATGGAACAATTCCGACAGATTTTCCCAATTTCTTTCAAAATCCCGCAACAAAATTTCGTATCCGGCAGTTCTGTTTCTGGTTTATAAATTTTATTTAATACACATGTACATAAAATACAACTTGATGCCATTGCACACCTATCGCTTTGATATAATGAACGAACTTCAGAAAAAGTTTGATTGATGTCTTCCACACTAGGTGACACATTTATTTGTGGAATTAAATAAGTCTCAGTTAAAACAAAAATGAAACTGACGTTACTTATTCCAATTCCATGAAATATATATAAGCCTGAAAACAAGTACATAGAAATGGGACTTCATATTAATTTCGAATTCATATTCATTTGTATGACACATAATTTTACAGCATATTTTCTATCTACCAACCCCTTTTGTCCTATAGCCCATGAAAATTACAACGCTAGTAAGGTTAGAAAAAATACTGGGGAAAACAGTTTACATCAGTCATAGAAATCTGGTCCCATACACAGCTATTTATTACGTAATAAAAAGCTCAGGCAATCGACTAAACATAATCACGCAAATATATGAAATGTAGGCGATATGCCTGAATGCAACATAAACCACAAATAAATGACAAGACAATGCATTAAAGTGGCAAATGAAAAAAGAAAAAATGAGCTGTTCCTTGGATTTAAAACTATTATTAAGTTAAAAAGCTGGCGTGAAAATCTGAAAGCAAACACACCAAAAGAACATAAGAGGGATAAACGAAGAATTTTAAGGCCTAATGTGATATTAACAAGATGACATAGTATTATCAACAAGTTATATAACAGTAACAGAAAGGAAGTTGTTATTGCACTGAAGTGTTTTTGTTCAGCTTTTCAATTTCATGCTCAAGATCACACAAGTTTCGTTCCAATATTTCAACTTCTTCCAATCGACTATCCTCCACAGCTTGTTTTAAGTACCTGAAAATTAATGAACTGTTAATCCATTAAAAAAATGCGAAAATTTGGAAAGATTTTTTTTCTACCAAGAGCAATTCTTTAAAAAAAATATACGTAATTAATACTTCGTGGAGTCTAGAACTGAATAAAACCAACCCTTTGATGATAAAGATTTGCTCCTCCAATGGATTAGCCTTTTCTTCCTCTTCAACAAATGGGTTAGTGTGAAGAAACATTCTAGATGGGGTCCAGCCACAATCTTCACAGCCACTAACAATACCGGAAAAGGAAATAGATTCTTTCAAATAACTCTTAACATTTTGTCGAACCATTTCTTTTGTTTCGCTTAAATGTGAGCCAAATCCAGGATTTGAAGTTGACGGCTGCAAAGCACAGGGGGAACTTTATAAGAAAATTTAAGACTTATGAAGAAGTTACAATCGTAAAGTGGTTTTAAGGATGAAATAAACGAGAATGCAATAAAGACATCATAAACCTTCAAAATGATTGTATTTCTCTTTCTTTCCATATCTATTCGATGTCTGATATCAGCGCGTCTTTTTTCTAGCAATTCATTATAGCGATCTTCAGTTGGATGAAGATTCATTTGCGTCACTAGTTGCTAAAAATAATTTTCGGTAAGAAATTAATGTACAATAAAGAGATTGCTGCTTAACCTAATCGTGAGAAATAAAACAATACTGATTGGAGTGAAAAATTAACACCAAAATCTCAGAAAGGTTCCTCAAATTAGAAATTGAACCTGTAATATTTGCAGAGCAAAATCACGAATATTCTTTCGAATGACTTTCTCCCGTGATGCACAAAGTCCAGAGGTATTTTCTTCAGTAATGTAATGCTTCTCAACACGAAAACTGAAGTGTTTAAGCTTTTTCCCGTTAATGACTTCAAAAATTTAATAAATAATGAATTTTGGGAATTTCTTCACAAATAGTTTTTCAATGTAATATAAAATATTTATGTGTTTATTTAATGTAACATAAAATATTGCAAAAATGATCACAAAATATAATCAAGAGTTGATTAAATTTACAAGCGCATTCTACTAACCTTACAGAATCAATTTCTCTTTGCAACTTTATTAATCGATTTCTTAGTTGAATAGCAGATTCTAATGTATACATGGTCTCTCCTCGACTGAAAACCATGGAAGAACTTAAAGATTTCAATAAATAATAAATTTTGAGAATCTTCATACAAATATTCTAAGTGCTATAGTATAAAATATTACAAAAACGACAACCGAATGAAAGCATAAAATTATTATGAACCTACCTCAGCGATTCTGAAATACGTGCATAGGAGGAAGCTAGCTTTTCAGCGTCACGAAAAAGAGAACAAAGTCGTTCATACAATATTACAAGCATCGGTGGCGAGGTAAGCATCTCCATTTTTTCGCTACGAACATCTAACAAGATCTTACATTCCGCACAAATTCGCAGGTGCTCATTTTCATCCTAGAAAATAGAAACGACACTAATTATGAAAATTACCTGGTTAATTATTTTAAGGAGGAAAGAACGGCGGCAGCAGCGAAGCTTGGTGAGACGATATATTCGAAATTCAAATAATCTCACAAAAAATGTGATATTTAACAGTAATAGGTAGGTAAAAAAAATTTATCACAAAGCTTAAAACAACCTGCTGAAGCAACGACGCTAAGCTGATTTCAGTGCCATCCCGTTTCACCAATGACAACGTTGAGGAAAATAATTTTTCGCCTTTTAATCGCACTGACTGCAACGATTCACTAGATATAACTTGCTTAATAGCTTCAGTAACAGACGCCGAACGTGACAAACGACTTAATGGCTCTTCTGAAATATTCGTCTCTGAGCTGTTAATTTCTTCCAACAGCTGTGCCGCAAATGCTGGATTTGTCAATTTGCCTGAAAATATACGGAAGCTGAGCTGCGAACCCCAAAAATCTAAGCATATGCGACAGAAGTTATAAGATAATACATGAGATACCATTTGATTTTTTCCAAAAGAAAGTCGAAATGGATCAAAAAGAAAGTGGCATAACAATTATCATGATAATTTCACATATATTAGAATTACAGTGAAATAAATAACTTCTACAGTAGTGAAAGTTTGAAAGATATACGAGCATCGACGAAAGCAAGAAACTTTGAGCATGCGTGACATATAATTTCGCCACATAGCCGGCAGTGATGCCGCCGCTTAGTCAATGAAAATTTCATGGAACATGTTCGACATCTCAGCACATCACGATCAGTCACCCAAGGTACTGTTTCACGTTCAAAAGCTACAAACAATTTCTGTTTTAGTGGAAAAAATTATTCCTGAAATTTAAAGGTAAAAATTTGCTGCAACAGATAACATTACAAGCAGATGTTAAGTAGATTAAGGAAATATATTAAACTCTAAAACAGTATGTGCCAACCTTTACGCTTATTTGAATCTGAAGGACATTGATTAATTAACTTATCAAGCCTAATAATCAAACTATTTGTTTTTACAGCAGCGTCGTTTATACAGGGAGATCGACATTTCAAGTAAAAATCTGTATGACTCCTTGTGATTCCTGCAAAAACGAAAACAATGAAAATTTTAGAATCTTCGGTGTTGGTCAGGACATGAAGAAAATATCCATGTGATCTCCCATAGCTTACTAGGTCATTTTCAATTGCTGTTTCCCAGTGAACATAGTGTTTCCCTATGCAACAAAACATAAAAATTTACGTTGACCAGACTTACCAAGATCCTGCAAAAAAGTAAATGCGTGCATTGCATGAGAAAATTTTTCGACACGACCATCTGCCATACTAGGAAAACTTCTTGAAACTGCAGCTGCTCCTCCATTATTCGAGTTTGCATCACCAATTAAAAAGAATGCATCTATATGTGAAATCTTTTGCTTAGCTTTATCGAAGATACCTGAAAAAATTGTTTCGTCTCATCCTTTGCATGACATGCACCCGTGCATATTTTTCTTGATTTGTGATAGCAGAAAAAAGACCAGGAAAATCTAGTGACTGCATATAGAAAACCTAAGCGTGATAAATTCATATAAGATAACCTTTAAAATGATCAAGGGAGTAATCAGCGGGTGTTGATTTTGGGTGGTGTTTTTCAACATGAACATGTAAAGTGACTAAGTCACCCAAATCTTGCATACAAAATGGGCACAAAAAACCTTGTCTAAATGCACCACCCAAGTTATCTGCGTCATCATTACCCATATCCATGACGAGAACACTATTTCTCGCATACTGAAGTTAACATTTTCTCCTAAAAACATATATAATCCATAAATTTTCCTAAAAAGTGTGACGATATTCGAAATTAACTGTGGCCACTAGAAAAATTCTGTAACAAAACTTATTACCTTCAAAAAAAGAGATTCTTTCTATGAAGAACACGAAAGCTAATCCACTTGCTCCTCACCGTCGTACTGCTGAATCAAGCAATTCAGACAGCCTGTGTAGCAGAAAGAATAACGGAACAAATATAAGGTTCATAGCACTTAATTTTTCATTCAGGTTATCGAGGTTGTTTAGAATTACTATTGTATTTATGATATGGAGTAGAATCAGTTATATTCATATTTCATATCCCCAATATCAATTTCCCTACTTTGAAATCAAGGTTCCCCCGCTCGAAGCAAACATTACGAAGCCACCGACTACAATAAAATATTTCTCGGACTGATGGTGCAACCGGGTAATTAGTAGAAAGCGGCTACGGCCACTCTTGAATTTGAAATGAAAAATCACCCAACAGCGTTTAAACACAAGTGGGATGTGATGGACTGCAGGGGTTGGTTAATTAATTCAGCGAATTATTGTGATGTATGTTCCTCACTTATATAGAGATACATTTGTTTCGAATGGATTAGATCGACGGAGAAAACTGAATGTCGCAAATTTCCGATGAGATTACGTTTCCTTTCCAAAGACTTTATATGCTGCAAGAATATACCTCCTACTCTTCAGAGCTTTCATTATGTATCCACACGCTTCCTATGACTTTTGTAACAATTTATAAGCGTCGGAAATCTGTTTGATTGACTTGTCAACAAAGATAATCTTCTTGAATCACTAATTTTCATGGTATTTTTTCAGAAGTCGAGATGACTCAGTTTTATTTGATTCATATATTCTTGGAATTGTTTTATGTCATAATTTGTATTTTTGTTGCTCTGTTGCATGTTGATTCAGTATTGAAGTCTTACTGTTAGTGCATAATTCGTACTTCAAATAAACCAGAATCGGAATATCAATTAAGAAAGTACACACATAGTCCTCAGTTCAGTGTCAAACGATCTAATCTGTAATCTGACCTGACCTGTGAAATTGATAATTGTTAGCCCTTTGCACATACAGTGGAATTCACTTTTTCCTGTTGTGATAAAGAAGCCGTAACTCTTTCTATGCTTCATGCTTACTCTGTTTAAATCAAAATGTATGAATTCTATCTTCAGTTTGAAGTATTAGACATTGTCAATGTGTCAGTGCAGATTGGTAACAACGACGACACGTTTAACATCTTCACAAATAGCAAGAAGTTAGCTCTTTTCAGGACTCAAAGTTTTGAAAGATAATTTGGGGACAGTTGAGAGCTTCCTGTAATAAATTAAAATTACCTAGACTTGGTGACATATTTTTTGTAAGACTCGCAAACTTCTCATAGATTCAGCAGATATGGCATCCTCCTATCTCTCCAATTTATAGATTATTGAATAACAATAATCCCCAGTAAAAAAGCGAATAACATATCAAGCAGGATGAGTATGCAGAGCATCTCCTTTCTGAAATAGTTGTACATTCTCTCAGTCAAAGAGGCAGACTTATTTCAAAAACATGTTCGATAAGCATGTTGTGTTATGTCGGTCAGGGACTGAAAGAAAAAGAAAGAATTGTTACCATGTGGTCGAAAGATACGACAAGTGTCTTTCCCAACATCAATTTCTTATTTACAAATTCCTCCGTTAGCTAGGAGACGATATCGAAAGACATATGAGTACCGATAAGGAGGGGAACCATAATACAATCTCAAAAGGAGACAGAACTATCTTGCAATGAAAAGAGGATGGTCTAGGAGTAAATGAATCTTGTTTCTCTCTCCTAGGAAGTAGTGGCATCCTTTCAATGAAGCAAAAGAAAACCTAATACTCATACTCTTCGGCATCCTATGCTTCAGAATGCATTCCAATTCCACTTTGGTTTCATCATCAAACTGAAAATACAGTTCCACAGTATTGATTTTATTTTTCACTGTGAAGGAAAAACAAATCATCTTTCGGTGATGTTTTAGGAGCCGGAGCCAAAGGCAGATTGGTGCTTCTCTAAATATAATTTTTCTCAGATTTATTGTCAATTTTTCTATAGCTTATCAGTTTTCAGCGTCATTTCGCCTCGTGTAAATAGTTCCGGTAATTTAATACAACGAAGAGAATGGAAATTTACGGCAAGTGGAGTGGATATTCGGGGTCAGCTCAAATCATTCTGATCCATAATTTAGGAAAATGAATGTCAGTTTGTTCAAAACACTTTTTGATTACTCACAAAATTACTAAAAGCAAGCATAGAAGCGCTCGGTAAATGGTTGGTGAAGGAAAAGGATAAGTGACTGAATACGAGTAGAGCGGTTACATGTGATTGGCATAGCGAAACAAGAGGGGAGGCATAGTACGGGGGAAATAGGAGGGAGTGAGGCGAAAATGGCGGAAGTGAGATCTGGTTTTCAAAAATTGGTTGAAAATGAGTGCACTCCACGGAGGAGGAGAGGACCAGGCAGCATAAGAGGAAGGTTGAAAGAGGAGGGGGTTCTTACGGCTGTTCTGTTACTCCCGTGCCCGTATTTCCTAATCTTCCCTCCAACAACGACGGCAGCGACGATCACCACACCATCGCCTCGCATAAGTCATCCGTGCATTATATCACACTTTACCCATGCCCTTCACGAGAATGAGTAAGTGGCAAAACAGGCCTGCTTATATGCAGTTCGTTAAATGAACTTAGCTCATAAGTTGATCACTCAGACCCATGACGACACAAAACGGCGTCATTGTGGTCCTTTGTACTTCGGTCTGTACAGATCGCAAACAGAAATAGGAAGAGATCCTACTATTCGTGTAACAGTGCCGCTATTTGGTGAAACTCCCTTCTTCCCTCCTTATTTACCTCTTTGTTTGAATCCATCACCTCCCATTCCCTCGCCTCCTCGACCTCTTTCCAGTACAATGAATGAAGGATGCTGGGGCACTACTCACCTCTTTACTACTCCTATGCTAATCTAATACCCTTCCTCCTTCGTAATTGTCAACTGATTCGATGTGTCCGTTTTCTCTTTTTTGGATGCACCTTACGAAAGTGTAATTTGGCGCGCTCGCACTGCTGCTTCGTTTTCTTAGATTCGTGTTGATGTTAGCTGAATGAAATTAACCTAACCGTGGAAGATCTCTTCTGAATTCATTGAACAATGCGATTTCCACATTTTGATTCCACTGAGCACAATCATCTGCATCTGTTTCTTTTACAGGCAATTTGATGTTACTTATGCAGTGAATTTTTTTGTTACATTCTAAATCAGCTGTGGCACATCACTGCAATAGAGAAAGCGCTCTGTTGAAGCATCATGACAAAAAGTCTTTGAAAAGATTCAGTCAAACGAATTGAATAGTTCCACGTTTTTCAAAAATCAAACTACTGATTACCAGTAAATAGATTTTGGACAAAATGTTGAAAGCTTGACATCATAACTTTTCCCGAGAAGGCAATGGCACAAAGATCTTTTTATCGGATACATTTTCAGGGGACATATAGCTAGCTACTTTAACAAACGCATTTTCCTTGACTGCTTAAGTAAGTCGAATGTTTTGTATCATGTATTGAGCATATAAGCGCTGTGAAGATAGAGGATAAAAGGATGTTGAGATTGAATGGTCTCACCTTGTGCAAGATTTTATTGCTGAAAAACTGCGAACGATGACAGCTTAAGAAACAGAATGTGTTGGATTCTTAAATGAAATTTTCCTCCAAATTGGAAATGGTTGAGAATGTGGTACTGGAAGAAAGGAGAGAGGTGGACAGGATGGTAGTTTGTATTTGAGAGCAACGGGTGCTCTCAAAACTAGTCCTTTGAGCATGTGTTTGTCCGTACGCATCATTGTGTGCTTTGAAAAGATAGGTCGTGGACATACAGATACACACAAAGTGAGATATATATATATTTTATGAATTTGCTGGCTGGGTGCGAAGAGGGAGTTAATGTTTGGAAGAATTCCGGTTTCGGGTTGCGCAGAGAATCGCCTAAGGCTTTGTCCCTCATATAAGCAGCTCATTACAACCTCCTTCTAATAAGGAATGAAGATCTTGCATTTTGAACAATTCTTCTGTTCGTTTTTCAAAGATTGCTGAATCATGGATCTACTGCAAAAAATTGAATGAATGTTTTTAGTCCGAATTCGCTACTGAAATGAGTAATCTATTCAATTTTTCGTTTCAGTTTTTTGGCTTTTTGGAGGAGCACATATATGTTATTCTCTTCAGGTAATTCTAGCTGTCTTTCACCGCATCGTACGTTTTCTTGGAAGCATGCAAAATTTACACCTAACTTTATTCCAGAAGGTTGGATTGCAATTAAAAATTGTCTCCTCAAATATAACTTTCAAGAGTAAGTTCATCTGCTCCGCAATTGAAAACAATTCTATTTAGGACGGTCCCAAGTAACGCATTTTCACCAATTTAAACACTGATGGGTGTTACACTATTCTTCCATGGATTCCTTTGAATTTTACTACTTGTGTTTTTTTTTATCCAAGTAAATCAGATGTGCGCTTTCTTCCAGATGGATTAGAACATGAAACCTTTCAGGCTTAGAAATATTTGACCGAGAAATCCGGTGGCAATTTTGCATGTCTTAGTATTTTAGATAAGGATAGGTTGGATAGATGATTATTGTTCGTTCGCTGTGGGTTGTCTCTTCTCGTTGTCCTCCATCCTGTTTGTGTTTCTCAGAAGGCTTTTTTAGGAAGCAATCGAGCGAACCATCCAGCCGGTTACCCCTCAGCCGCTCTCACGGCTGTCCCTTCGACAGTCACCTCTTTTCCCTGTTCCTTTGTTCATCTACAACCCACTATTCGATCAGTATTTACCCAATGCTCAAAATAGAAAGTACAGGACAACTTGGAGCAGCTATAGTTGTTAGTGTTTGTGAGGATGAACGATCTGGAAAGCAAGCTTTATCGTGTTTTTCTTTAATTGTTCTTATAAACTATGTTGTTGATTTCATAAGATATGAATTAGTAGTCATGATACTGTCATTGAAAAATGTTATAGCTTGTGATCATGAAAGTGGTGGTAGTAATGACGATATCGACAGTATTGGTAGTGATTGCAATGATAATATCAGTAAGATCTATGGTGATATAAATAAATCACTGAAAAAAGCCGCAGTGTTCGTTTTGAGAGATTTTATTTATCATCATTTTAGTAGTCTTTTGCATTTCTCTTATCACTTCCTATTTCCCCTCATTTGCTTTATAAAAATGTTTAGAACTGTAACCGTCGAACCGTTCACCTTCTTTTCATCTAGCAATGATTTAGTTCTCCATGGAATCTTAATTGTGGAAATACTTCTACAATAAGCTTGTCTCAATTCACGTCTGAATGGTTTTGTTTTTGAATTTTAAGTGCCAAGTTGTTGTGGTATTAGTCATCATTCTTTTCTTTAAATTTTATTCAGCTCTTAAGTTGTTCAGGTATTAAAGAGACTGAAAATTTAATCATTTTGTAATTTTGATTTTGTGGGAATGTTCTGGCTTGTCAACATCATAGCTAAGATTTGTTATGCTGCCTGCTTTAAAAATCTGAATTTATGATTAAATCCTTTCCAGTCGGTATAGACCGATATCGAAGGTAAATTCACATAGTTCTTACAAAGTTACTGTATAATGTTATGGAAGTTCTGATAACTTCATGATTACATGTCTTAAAAGCTAGTTTACCGTTTTATGGAAACAAAGGTTTCGAAAAGAAGTTTTTAAATGATTGTTTGGAGTTTTTTCCTGCAATATGATGCATTTTTCATCTCATTAACAGGAACTTAGCTTACTTTCGTAATCCTTGGTTACGTTTACGAAGTATCTGGTAAAGAACTGAACCATTAGTTAGGGAACTTCATTTAAGCACAAGAGGCAGTGTAAAAAGAGTGAGTATCCAAATTGTTCTTAGTAGAAGCTCATGATTCTACTTAAATTTTATGCGCGGGAGAGGTCAACTAGTTCGTTATATCTTGCTGCGTGCGATTCTTTTGATCGCCATTTGAATTTCGAAATTTGTTAGTGAGAAAAGTTCATTAAAAACCTGAAGCCCTCATTGGATGATAATGTACTGATTATTTTGCTCACCCCAAACGTTCTATAAATTTCTACAGTGCTTTTTTTTTTTCTTTTTTGTTTTTGTGAGCTTCTATTTGTAGCAAATGGCCGGTTTTCATGTACAAGAGTATTTAAAAAGGTGCATTAGATAACAACCTTTCCTTAATAGGTGTGTACACTTTTCGTGGCCTATTGTTTCATCTCTCCCATGGCCTTTTTTCATTTTCTGAACTGCCGTCACTTACTTTACTTCTGAAACAGTTACTTTCACAAACTTTTCTGTTGCCTTCCATATATCGGTTTACAAAAATTAATTGTATTCTGTATGCAAAGTTTGGTGCTGTCCAAAGTCAGTTAGTGATACAAGAATTTGGTCCAGATGATGTTATGTGTAGTAATTTCGTGCGTGATAGTTCTGTAAACGAAAAGTAAGTTTACTGGCGCAGTTTCATGAAGATGACTGCCACGTGACATGGTTAAGGCTTTTCGGCACGTTCTCCACTCATTGTCAACCACTGATTCTCGAAATTCCGGAAATACCCTAGCGGCCTTTAGTCAGTAATGCAGGAAATTTTTGCTTTGTATTACGTGGCGAAATATTTTTGCAATCTTCTAATCTGTGATCCAAACTATTTGGACAGTTAGTTAATATAGATCGTTTATACAGTTGCTCTACGTTTTGAATTTTTTTGATGGTAATGCATACTTCGGAACTGGGAATGCAGGCAAAATCCATAAGAATTTTCCAATGAAGTTTAGAATTTTTATGTAGTTTATAATTATTTTCACCATTATAGTGATAGACAGTTGGTTTTAATATTGTGTGGTGGGGAAAGGAAATTGAAAGTGCATGCATTATCTAATAAAGGTCGTGTATAGTAAGTGTCCTCACGTGTAGCATTTGCTGGGAATATTTGTGATTGTTGTTCTCGACTACAATCAGCAAGTGCTATGAATACATCATGAGATGTGTATTGGTATTGGGAGGTCATCTGAAAGTTATATGTTTTCTTGCAGTTTTGCTTCCCAGAAGACTTATCACGTAGGCTGAAGTCACAGAAGTACAAAGTTTTGGAAGTGGAAAGTAGAAAGCCAGAGTATACGGTACAGGAACCTAGCATGCATGTAGGAAGCGGAAATATGACTCTGGATAGTGAAGAGAATGAAATATTTCAGTTTGTTGAATACGTTCTTATAAACAAGCACTCTAATGCTTTCCTAACTGTAGGTTGGAGTGGTATTGTACACATGGGCGTGGTTGACATATAACCAATTTGTGTTTTCCGATGCACTTGATCATTTACATGATCAAATTTCGGTGAGAGTGATTTGAGGACTTCAGAAGGTCCTGAAATATGAAGTAATTGGTAACATTAACTATGTATTATTAAAAATTTTTTGTAATATAGTTTTACATTATTCTCCTTTTCGGGAAGTTTGTGGTTGTGTGCGCAGTCCCTTATCTACAGGTTCTTTCAGAATTCTTTGTGCTCACGAGATTTAGAAAGGCAAAGATGCTGTAGTTGAAGTTCTGTGCTCAGTATTGTAACTACATTAAATAGTAATAAATTGCATTGAACGTCATTGAAAAGTTTGGCTCAGAATTGAGCAATGAGTGTCTACAACAATGTAACATGTCTTTAAACAATTTTTTACTTTCGTGGCAGCCGTTGGAAAGTAAGCGATTTCACTAATGCATTAGCTGTTACGTTCAAGCCATACAATTTATCCTTGTATAATCTTTATCTTTTTTATTATTTTAGCGCTTGAAAAATTTACTGCTTACACTTTACCGACAATTTTAACTGCTATAGTTAATACTGGGCATTGTCACAGAGGCATAAAATGGGTGGTTCCACTATGAAAACGGCTAAAGTGTGGAAATATTTCATCCAGTTACCGAGCGAAGAACAAGCTGCTGAGTGCAGGATATGTTGTAAGAGGATTAAAGCAACGAATAGCAGGTACTGTTTTGCTTTGGCTTTTTTATCCACCCATAATTTCTAAAAGTTGTTGCATTTTCCTTATTAAAAACATCCTACATTTTACTTAGGGGTTGGTAGGAATTGTTCAATAATAAAACGGATTGATTCACTTTTATACCGTTGCCGTTAGTCCGCTGATTTATGAAAGACATGTGGTGGGATAGTGTAACTAATTTGGGATTTCAGTACGACAGGTATGATCCGCCATTTGCGTAGCTGTCATTCCAGTGAATACCAAGTGTTACAGGCAGCACGACAAAATAATTCAACTACAAAGCAAGGTCCAGTGTTTGTTTTCTAACATAAAATTTAAACTTAGAAATAGAGCTTGTGGAGTAATCACAAATTCGTTTCAAACTACTGTCATTTTCAGAAAACGAAGCTCTGAATATCAGGCAGAATAATTCCGCGAAAAAATCGAAAGATAGGACAAGCCATTCGGTGGCTAACGTTATCGCCACTACGTTCGATATAAGGGTGTGACACACTTCTTACGCCAAACTTCAGTTTCTGACTTTTAATTTCAGATTTAAACTTCAGATTGTTTTCCTATTCATGGTATTTCAGCTGCGAGTTCCTTTTTTTGAACCGAAAAAGTTTTTCAGCGCAGGCATTTGGAAAACAGCATTCGCTATATGTATACCGATAACGGTTCTGCACAAAAGAAAACAAAATTTGATGAATGTTGCAATGCCGTTGATTTGCGAATGGGACCGAGAAACAAAACAAATCGCAAAGAACAAATGGAAAAGACTAGGATAATGAAAGGGAATTTCTGGCCGGACGATCATCCGGATGCACGAAGAATTTCGGATCAGGTTTTTCGTTACTTTTTAAATATATTTAATCTGTCGGCTAAAGTCACAATAAAATGCTGCTGTCGTAAATTATAAAAGTGATGTATAAGTGCGTTTCTGCTTTCTGGTTGTTCCGGGATGAATATTTTAGACCTGGAAAACTCCTTCTTTCTATCTCTCTACAGCTCTCTTTCCTAAAGTCAATCAACTCACTGAGTCCTTAAAGAGAAAGAGGGAGCTAAACCTAGAAATTGGTGAATATATTCGTTGAGCACAGAAATTACATAAATTCTTCATTACTTAACGCTTATGAGTTATCTGACCTTTAGAGGTGTATTAGGGCGAAACCTCAAATTTTGCGAAAGCAACCTTTATTTTCTAATGCAGGTTATCCTAATCCTTGTCTCAGGTTTTGAAGTGGAAACGGAGTTTGGAACGGGTAAAAAACTACACAGTCTTCAGGGCATCTCACTTTATTTTCTCAACAGTAGTAGTATTTAGCATCCTCATTACTGACCTTATTAACTTCACAAGGTTTATTAGAAAGGAATTGTTTTGCAGATTGGAATAATGCTACTTCTGGATAACGAATCACCAACAATTATTAGCCGTACTGGCTTCCGGAATTTGCTTCGCTTTCTTCAACCTAGATATCAACTTCCGTCGACGGAGCAATTCTATAAAGTGATCTTGCCAAGACTAATCGACCAGCTGAGATTTGATGCTGTTTCTTTGCAGCAAACTGGCTTCATTAGCAATCAGTTAGTTTCCAGTTACCATTAATAAGTCCAGATAATATCTAACAAATTAAGCAAATGCTTGTGAACTGTACTATTTTATTTAAGGATTATGGGCAATTGTAAATGGGAAGCTCAAGCAGTAGATATAGTTATCCCTTCAGTATATTAATTTAGGCAAAGCGATTTGAATGCGCGGTTGAGCAGTTTAACTACAATATTACTGTCGAAGGAGTATGGTGCTGGAAATTCTATTTCCAATGAAAATAATCATGAACTTGCAGCTTTTAGTTCTATCTATAGTGAGCAGGTATAACTCAATGTTGTCACTAACCATTCATTGAAGTCGATAGATTCACTGTAGGTTGATTGTTAAGTTTAATCGAGGTGAAAAGTCTGGGTGACAACAATTTCTTTTATAATTTCAATTCCTAATTATTAACATTTCGGGTATGTATTTTACAGCATTCTATGCAGATTTTTAGTTTTTTTAAAATTATTTCATGGTTGCTTTACGTTTTCTAGAAAGAGCTGGAACGCGTGGTAATTAATTCGATTCGTTCTGCACAGAACATATCGCAGAGTTTTTCGCACAGTATTCAACTGTGTGACGAAGATACTGATTCAAGCGTAGAATTTGAAACAACGTTGTCTGCTCGCATTGATTCCTTTATGAAACGTATTGGGGAATGTATCTTTCCTCAAGTAAGTTGGGTTAATTAGTAGAAGTTGCTTTTGATTAGTAAGTTTGTAAGGCATTACCAAAATCCTTAAGGTTTTCTAAACATGAATTTTTTTAGGCGGAGTTAACGGATCTTGTAACACGATGCTATTATGCATGTCGCCATTTGGAAGAGCTTTCAGATAATGGACAGCATCAGTCACGGTTGGATATTCAATCGTCTTTGCGAAGCTCAGATTTAACAAATTGTGTAGAATACGTTTATAAAAATTTAGAGCGAATTCATGAAGAGCATAAACGTTCTCCCATACCAATGTTCAAACCTTTCACGGATGACGAGACTCAGTTTCTGTCTGATCTCAACATGCACATTCACTCTATGTATTTGCGCTCGTAGCTTTTTATATATCGAGGTTCGTTCATCAGAATGTTCTGGAGAGGTTAAATTTTGTGAATTTGGGAATATTTAATAACCATGATTTTTTTTTTTTTTTGTGGAAGATATTCAAAAGTTTATGGGGAAAACCACCCATTAGTTTGAGGAGATAACCGCGCGAAAATTATGAAATTTTCGTGTGGTTTTTCTAATCTCTAGCAATACTGCGAATCTTTTGCTCGTTGCTACTCAGGATAGTTTTGGATGCCAGTAACTTTTCTGCAGTAATATGAGTACTTGTATTTTACTTTTGGGAAGTTACTTTATATAATCTGCTTTGCTTTGATTTATTTACCTCAGATAAATAGTTTGAAGGTAGGTAGAAGCGAACGCTTTGTTTCGTAGTTGTATGGATTTTGTTGTTTCTGTACAATTTATAAGTTCAAGCACGTTGTTTTAAACGTTAAATTCCTTAACTCTGCTCTGTGGTTTAGTCGTATGGAATTTTTCCTAGCATACTTCGATTTTAAAGTATTGATTCATCCGTACAATAGTTCTTTCAACTAGAAATTGGGATCGACGTTAACGAAGTGTTATGCATTTCAGTTAGTATTCAGAGAAAATGTTTAACAAATTGGGTAGCAGATAGAATTTCGTTATTCGTAGTTGCTATTCTCATAGCTTTAGTTATATTCGTAGTCGTTTCGCTTAGCCCTTTTCGGAGTCTCAACTAGTTTTTTGTTTCAATCTTGTCAAGCTTTACCGAAGAGCACGGTTGCCGTACTGTATATGTAATTGACCATACTTTTCTCGTAGTAAGTGTTCTTGCCTATTCAAAATGCCTTATGTCATTCTTGCATTTTCACATTATGGTACATTCTTGCCCCACTTCACTTTCGACTGTTTCCGGTGTTTTTGTGGACTTTTGAATCTTTCTGATATGTAATCCATGTAGTACCTGTTTCACTCTGGATCTCTCTTTTTGACATGTCAGAATACTACATTGCTGATATGCTCGCTTCTGCTTTCAATGTCTTAATATTGTTTCAAAATAAAGAATTTGAAGTTCTGTGGACGAGCTGTGTGAAAATGGTAAAATAATTTAGGAACGGAAATGGCGGTGCGTGGTTGTTATTGTGGCCGTGAATAGATTTGAGAATCTGGATCTTAAAAGAGTTTGCGAAGTGATGCAAAGTTGGTGTGTATAAGCCGTCCTCGGTTTCGAGTTTACTGTGATTCGGCGTTGCAGTACATGCTTATTATGAAAAAGATGCAAACTTGAGGGTAAACGAGGAAAACTGGAGCAAAACTAGTATGTTTCATGTGATAAACATACCTTCTGTGGATGAAAAATCCAATATAAGTTATGTACAAGTTCCATGTTAAGTTGTAACATTGTACGTAATTGAATGATGAAATTTGAACAATAGCTTTTTAAAGGGAATGTCAATTGCATGAAATAATTCATGAAGTTCCATTTTGGGCAGTGAACCATAAAATTTCAGGAACATTTGTAAGGGTATTTAAATAAGAGAGCGGTTCGTTTATGGATTTAACAGATTACTGGACATATTATAACTCTTTTAAAGTTCAAGATACTTGTTTCGAATTTCGTGACAATAAGAATTCATTTTGAGAATGAATTTCGGTTTTTAATCTTATATAAAAGCTCAAACTTTTGCAGACAGAGAG